CGGTAAAGCATGACAAAAATTTTGGCGGACCACCTTTATACAAACGAACTAAGCCTATGCAATAAATTATACGCATTAGGAAATTTACTAAAAACGACGGTGATGCTTTTTAATGCGATATCTGTATTTGATTGATGGCCATTAACTGCTCCCATATTCGAGACATTGTCACACGTAACGTGTTTCTTACATCTAACCTACTTCAATATCATATGGTTTTTGTAGTTATCAATATTGAAAACCAGGCCTCACTTTAAGATTTCGGGTTAACATTTTGTTGGGGAGATCTTATTCGGACTGATGAGAGACTTTCGTATACGGGCGTAAAGAAAACAATTGACCCAGCATTATTGCGACATACTGATATGACAATTGTTTATGAAGTCAGACATGCTGCTCAATAGTGTTGTGCGGTGGTCGGCAAACTTCATGTTCTTGCGGGCCAAATATACACATTTCCGGTAGCGCGCGGGCCGCAATATTTCCGCCTTCGATTAAATAACACTTCAAATTATGGCGCATTCGCATTGCTGCCCTTCTATTGCTGTGTTGAAAGCCTGTCCCAATGAGATGTGTATGTGGCGTTTTTTGAATATATTATTCAACGATACATTGTTTTTATTTACTTATTATCAATGTGAAAGATGATGTTTTTATGGCAACTCGTCGTCCAAAGGATAATCTGACAAGCGAGTACGAAATTTAATCTAAGTGTAATGCATTTCAGATACAGCTGCTCAAGGCCATATATATGTTCTTCCGAACGTGCACATTACATGTTTTGAACGGTCGCACAGCTGTGGCGCAGTCTCGGGGTCGAATTTTCGACGACTCGTTTCATAACGAGTTTAATTAAAACATTGAAACCCTTAACATCTGCAATGCTGACTGGGCATATCGAGCAAACCGGTTTTGTAATGCCCAAGAAAGAAAAATATTTTTCCGTTCAAGCACTTTGGAATGCTCGATCCTTTGTCGCTCCGTTTCCCGGACATTTTTAAATTTTAAAAATCGGAATTAACTCGAACGACATATAACTGACGCTACTTGTTACATAAGAAGCGCCGTGCAGCAGCACTTGTCACCACATAAATCCGTGTAGAGACAATAATAAATTTGGGATCAATTTTTTTGTTTTGTCGGGTCGTTCGTGAGCCGCAACAAATTAGCTCGCGGGCCGCATTTGGCCCGCGGTTTGCCAACTCTTAGTGTTGTGTTTGTCTGGTTTACTGTTGGGTGCTGTTTTTTAGTTGTAGGGCTTGTGGTTAGATTGTAGAGGTTTTATTACGGCCTTGTCTGTTTTTGTGTCACCTCTCTGCGGACCGGCAGTAACCTTTCCGCGGACCGGCGATGGGCCGCGGCCCGGTGGTTGCCGACCACTGCACTAGACCATGAGAACGGTGCACTAGAGGAAGGAAAAGCAAGCAAAAGATCACTCTTCTGGTGGGGGCAAATACGAGCGGCAGTGAGAAGTTTCCTCTTCTGGCGATCGGCAGTTCCCAGAAACCTCGTGCCTTCAAGAACAAGGAGATACCCGTTAGATTCAAGGTAAACTCAAAAGCATGGATGACGGCGAGGCTTTTCGAAGAGGTGTTGCTTGAGTGGAACAGACGTCTTGGCCAGCAGGGACGCAGAAGGCTGTTCTGCCTTGATAACTTCTCTGGCCATCCAGAGTTCCAGCTGGAAACGTTAAACTGATCTTCTTCCCACCCAACACGACAGCAAATTCTCAACCAATGGATCAGGGAATCATAGAGAACCTCAAGCGCCATTACACAAAGATCCTGCTGCGTCGCCGACATGGACGAGGAAAAGGAGTTCGAGTTCACATTGCTCGACGCTGCATAACGTTTGCCGTGCTTGGAAGCAGGTCAGCGAGTCGACGATCAGAAACGTGCTTCGTGAAGGCCAAGTTTATCGAAGTGGAAATCCAATTTGAGCTTGATCATGTTGATCTGCTTGAGATCTGGGAAGCGCTGCCTGCCGAGAAAAAGATGCAAGAGAACGAGGAGATCGAGCTGTCTGACTTTCTTGAAGCTGATGAGCGCATTGAGACTGGTGTTTTTTTTACACTGGATGAGATTGCGGAGAAGTGGTTGCGTAGCGAGGAGCCGCTTAAAAGCGAAGATGATGAGATAAATGTTGAGGAGGAACTTGCTTCATTGGAGGAAGCCCAGCGGGCATGGAGCACTGTCCGGAAGTTCATGCAGCAGAAAAGCGTGAAGCCCAGTGTGATGCAAGCATGCGATCGGCTAGACGACGAGGTACATGAAATCCGCAAAAAGAACATGTGCCAGCTGACGATTCCTCAGAGTTTTGTGCTGAGCTACAGTAGATAACTTGAGAGAACACATTACAAGCACATACATATACTTTTGCCGTTTCACAGCCTTTTAATCGTTTCGTTCGTAGCGTTTATTGTTTCGCTAAAACAGCAATACTGTACCTCAATGTGGCATATTAGCGAGAGTAAGGGATGGCATAGTAAATATATTTTATATTGAATTTAGTTGGTGACGATCAAAAGTGGAATAGTAGCCAAGTGGCATGGTATCAAAGTTTGACCGGCAAATTTGAATGGTACATTAATATTTATAGAAACCATTCGATGACCATAAAGCGATTTGCGTCGGCCAGGCAAAATTTTCTTAGACAGTACTAGGTTGATATTTACCCACCATTTGTGATGACTGATGAGTACGCTTATTGTCACGCTTCCGGCATTTTGATCATATAATGTCACACAGCCTGTATGTCATCCGTCAGCACCTCTTCCCACTCTCTGGATATACCGTACATATCTGTCGAACCATGTTGATGTTTGACTACATATATCCAGTTTTTGAATTTCCGATAGACAGTTCCGAGTGTTGAAGATATATCGTTCTGGCTCTCATATCTGTTTTCTCTATCCAAGTTATATTTGAGTGTGATGGTTTCCAATTTAAGCCAAATGTTAAGTTTACTAACTTGAGCAAATATCATCTAGCGACAATAGATATTCGTGATACAAATGGGATAATTCCAGGCCAATGTAATACTGAATTTGGACCTTTGACATTGAATGTGGACATTTTGTTGTATTTTGATAATAACATATATGCAGGATGAATTATAATGTAATCTAAAGATTACACAACATTTACTTATTGATAGTTTTATGAATTGTTGTAACATGTTGAAGCTCTAGCGTTACTGACTCTTGAAAAATTATCTATAACGCAGATTAGTGTGAATACTTCTCTTTTGAATTACGAAACCTACGTTTTGTAAATTAGTATGAAAATTCGAATAAAATCAAATTACACTAGGATATTTATGACTCATTCGAACTCAATCCTACATTTTATGTTGCCATCATAACAACCAAATCAATCGAATACTTTTTAAAATATCACAGATCACATTTTCACCGGTGGAGCATCGGGTAAAAAGATTCGGGCTTTTAGTTGGGGTAAAAGAGAATTGGAATGAGTAGGTAACCTCACTTTACCTAAAAACATCGGACAAGTAGCAGCTATATCTATTGTTGAAGAAAATTTATTCATCGGAACAACGAAGAACTTAATTTGCACGGTTGTAATCAACCACTCAGGCTATTCATTCTTTCAAAGTAGAACAGTACTCACAGATGAAATCAACAAGTTTAAAATTGGGAACAAAAAAAAACAATATAGAAGAGAATGACAGTGCTGTAAATAATAACATATTTGGTCAATTAGAATCCAGAGAGAGGAAGCAAAGAAGATGTGAAATGTGAAACAAGGGAAATGACGCCAACACCAAATGAATCAAATTTGAGACGATTGTCAAGAAGTGCCATGTGATGCCATGTATATGCATGGCATTTTATTTTTATATTTCTTCATCATTTATTGAACGATATGCTGAACAAAACTGGGCACAATAAACACAGAGGTCGCATAAATTGAACGATTTTTATCATAATAATGCCTTTATTTTTACTTGGAATAAAGGAAAAAGCTAAAAGGTTGCAGCTAATTATTTCCGTGAAATTTCTAACAGGCCCATTCTCGATAACGTGAACAAGATATCCCAAAGCCAGACAACCGTTTTGGTTATACTATGTGAAAGTCTGTGGAATACTGAATATGCAACAGCAGATGACTTACAGTAACAAACTGCTTCAAATAAATTACTCTAAATTGGCATATCACAAGCACTCAAAAGGTAGCAAAATCATTCAACATGATCAACCTGGTCAAGAAGGCTAACAAGCAATCACTCATAACACACTTATCACAAAACAAACCCCACATATTTAGTCTGTTTTTTTGGCAAGATATAAATCAGACTGAAAGACAAAATTTACTTCACCATCGATCAGACTCACTTCATCATCTAACACTCGCTCAGTACATCTCTCAGACACAAAAGACAGACGATCACATTTGTGCTTTGCATCTCGCACACGCCTCTTCCACTTCGCAAATTTCTTTAAAACAAGAAAAATCATTGGAAACATTTTGTTCAGAACACAAATTGGACGAAGAACCATTACTACTGATAATTTTTCTAATACCATGCACCAAAGGGAAACTTATGATTGTGACGAAATGCAGATACATTTCGCTGCTCAGTGCATTCAGTATTTAACATGGAACATACTGGATTGAGATGCATTACTTGTTCAACTGTAGTGGAGAAGATACATGTAGTGGAGAAGATATATAAGGATTACTTTTGGAAGTAGCACTACTTACCAAATCAGTAGACAACATACGATGACTTAAATAACCGTCATTTATAAAGTACCACAGCACATGAAATCGAAAAAACTAATCATAAGATAAAAGTCTTATCTATATTGGACATTTTTAGAGCTACAAAATGTTTCTTTCATAGAGGAGAATTTTCAATTTTGTTGTTCTCCGGAACAGCATGTTGCGATTTTAGGTGATATAAGAAAACTTGGAATCATACTTTCCTAACCCATAGGCGCGAAACACTTGACACAGGTTTTGATATAAAGCGTTTTGTGAATATAAAGGTTAATATTTATTATATATATATAGTTGTATCTATAAAAAGTATCAAACAAAATAGAACATTCACTTCATCCCGCTGTCATGCGGTGATCTGAAACGAAAAAAAATTGATATATAACAAAGAGATGGAAACCATTTTCATAAAATGTTTTATCACATAGTGGTTCTGAAATGTGATTTTTTCAAAAAAAAAAATTCATCTCTGCTATTTCGTTCAGTTAAGCATTTCTTTATTCCTTTAAACTGAGTACGATAGAACGCGAAACTTCTAACCTAAGATGAGTCAATGTAAAACAAACCGCGGAAGATCTTTGCATGATTTCAAATCTATGAATCGTATTGATATGCATTGTCACGAGGACTACGCAATCGGAGTCTACGTGGAGGAAGGTAATTTAACTAAGCGGCTTATTATTATACTCAAATTCCTGACACATTGGAGTCATAAAGAAGTGACTTTTCTGTATGTATACCAAATCATCAAAATATAGTTACCGAAATCGGTCATACGTGTGCAACGGAGCTCTCTGCAAGATTCAGTTGATGTCTGTTAACGTCCAAAACGAATAAAAACATAAAATTATTTATATATATATATATATTCGTTGGGTTAGCGTTAAGTAATATTTCAAGGAACAAATAATATGAGTATTGCGTATTCACTTTGTATTAAACAAGACTTGAAAAATAATTAAAAAACTATGTTGCTTTTTTACGTTTGTAAATTCGTCCATTACAAGTATAAGATACTGCATAACGTAATGCCGATAGGTTTCTTACCATGGCTACCACTCCGCCGCTTCGTGGTTTCACGTGGCATCCAAATGTACCCCAAAGCTTCAAATTGTGTTTGACAGGAATAACCTGCAATTTGAATTTATAAATTAAAGATAATATCGCCCAAAAAAAATACAAAAAGAAATATTTATAGAGCCGGAGTGGTCAAATTAAATCATTTACCGTGGACGACATATGACCTTGACTTCTTGGTGGCATACGGTATCCATATTGTCCACGAATTCGCGGTTTGCATTTTGTATTTCGAACCTGGAATAAATTTTAATATTGCATTGATGTCTTTACTGAATAAAATGGTAAAGAATCAAAATAAAGCATTGAAAATGTATTTTAATTGTGTCATCATGGTATACATAACATAATATTGCTTCGGTTAAGAGATAGATGTGTTATGCTACATGCGACACATTTCACAGGATTTCTGATTGGTTCAAATATTGAGAATTCCTCACCGTCTTCTTTTTTTGATAACTTGTCTTCGCCCCCTTCGCCGTCTCTTCGGGAGTGAGATCACTGAAAATATACAATTTTAAAAACGAGGCAAATGATAATAGTAAAGGCAAATATTATAATAGGTATATTTGTATAATATCACACAAAAATTTAAATAAATTTATATATCATATCAGTAACAATTTTGATTTTAATAAAATGTACTGTTTACGGCCAAGGGAATGAAGACTATACCGAAAACAAACGTGGTAAGTGGACCTGGGGTCGTAACCAGTGGTGGGATTCAGCCGGTTTGCACCGTTTCTATAGAACCGTCTCACAGAATTTAATGAGATCAGCGAACCGGTTAGCATTACTAAAAAAAACATGTAACAGAACCGGCCGAAAAATATGACTTTTGTGATAGAACCGGCTGACAAAAAATTTGAATCCCACCACTGGTCGTAACCTATATCCAGAGTATTTACTTAGAATCAATAACGAAATTGTCGTGTATAATTTGTACCTGCATACTTTTGCACCCCCATACAGAGATCATTTACAGCGTGTTAAAATCTGTGGGTGCAAATATCCTGTTTGCATTTTACGCGTGCAAACAAACATGGACGCAAATTGCACACTGTTTTGGATTTAGTGACTATCCCTGGCGACTAATGGATGTCGCTTTTTTAATTCGTTTCACTATAACGGGAGAAACTTTTGAAAAAAATCCTATTAAGCTAAGTAACAGCCTCAGTGGTTCTGTAGGTCTACATGCACCCTTTAGTATTTTGGAAAGTTGGAACGTTCAAACTGCTTTATATTCTCAAAATCAATTTTCGTCCCAAACATCTGACATAAAAATGTACCGCAAGATCAACCTGTTTTAACTGTAAATAAACTAAGTTACATTGGAAAGCAAAATCACCAGGAATACAAACCAGTTCGAACTTTGATAATAATTCTTTAGGCTTTAATTATATGCGAGGAAAGAACGACCATCAATGAAGCATTCTTTTTGGAACTGAACAAACCACCCAAAAATAACATTTTGGCCGGCCCTCCTTCCAATTTTTCTTCATTGAATTATTAGTTCGTTTTTACCCATGTTATATATGGTTCAATGATTAGCCAGCCCTGGCCAATGTAGACGCAAATTCATTTGTGACCTAACCGAAGTAAATTTGCAGTAGCGATCTCTAAAGCAATAAACCATCAAATATCGATGGATCATGTCTCTCAAGTTCATTTTTTTGGTATATGATTACGTCAAAGCATAAATATACATACCTGTTTTAATTTGCAGTTATGACATATGTTACACTGCATGGCATTAATCCATAATAATTGGTCGCATCATCTTACAATCAAGAGACACACAATAACCATACCTACAGTTTGGGGGGGTTGAGGCATAGTGATGAGAAATATTTAGGCTCGGATTGGTTAATCAGTGTGAATTGGATATCAAAGTGGAAGTATGAATAATATAATTGTTAATATACTTTCATTTTGTACTCAATTTTTTATAACACTTTATTTACATTAAAACGAAATTTAAAATCGTTTTACCAACTTACCCATTGACCATGTGTAAAAACTTTGGCGGGTCCACAGGTGTACCCAATGAGTTGTCCTTTTCGGGATCCACCGATGAGGATAAGCATACAATAGTTTGGCGTTGGCCCATGTTGCGCGAATATTCGATTTTAATCGACAACTAATGTCTTATTTATTAAAAAACAGAACAAATGAAATTATAAAGATTATCTTGCCTGGTCAATGTGGAATTTGGCTATTTTGCCCAAAGTCAATATATATCAATTATTGGTGTACAGTATTGTTCTAATCATTGGAAACATTCTCTCCATCGCATTTTTGTAAGGACAACGCATGGGGCGTGGCCAGAAAAGAGGGGATAACTGACCTGGTAATCGGGCATCCGGTCGTGGTCGACTTTGTTGGATTTCCCTTTTCACTTTATAAAATGTAACCTATACTATTTATATTATGTATTCAAAGTTCGAAAACTCGTAAAAAAGACTTTCTGTTTAAGTCAATCTTGTTATTTAAGGATGATGAATGAATCAACATAAGATTTACATATTTATCCCGAGGAAGGGGTAAGCCGATTAGACATCCCAACCATATGGCGAACCACTGCCTCTCGTCCGGAACTTGATGGTGAAGGAAGCGATATTCAAATTCCACTTAACTTTAATACTCTACACTACAGATTTATTACGGTAGAATTATAGATACTGAGATACAGGGGGTATGGTTTGCGCGTTACGCTACTGAAATTTTTAACCGACATCACCTAATTATCGCGAGCGATTTCCATAAACTCGCATGAAGCAAGTGTACGAAAGAAAAAAACTGATTAATGTAAGCTAAACTCTAGCCCGAACAACGATGGTAGCGGTTTCCGTGGAAACAAAGGTTTCTGTAACATTGTTACGTCATATTTTGTAACTAAGCGACCAAGCCTGCAAAGTGAATGGAGTTGCCTCCGGAAGAATCATTTTAAGAAGTAGTCGAAATACGACATACGTATTTCAAAATCAATTGCTATTAAATAGCCATGAGTGAAGTTTTAGGGCTTAATGGTTGACATAAAAAATACCCAATGGAAAATGGCACCAGACCGATCGGTTGGGTATGGTTGCAACTTGCAAGTATATGTGATGAAACCAAATTTCTAACTAACAAAGAAAGATAAACACGAGCAACATTGAGCGAGGGAAATATAACATAAAGGAAATGAATTAGAGCAACGACTTTTTTCAGTCAAAGAACATGCACTATTAACAATATGAGGTAAAAATATTGAAATACACAGTAACTATCCTTATGTACTCGCTACAATTCAACTTCGCTAGTTGCCTCAGCTAGCCGTGACACTAGTCAATTCAGTGACATTAGTGATGTAACTAGATGTCAAAAAATGTTTCTGGTTATGACGAAACAACACCAAATGCGATTTTTGATCCTCCGCGGGACACAGTTAATGATGTGTTTATATATATATGTGTCCTTTCCATTTCGTGCAATACTCAATATGAATAAACCACTTATGGGGTAATTATTTGAGTTTTTCAGAGTTGAATCAGAGTAACATGATATATATATATTACATTTGATTTCTCTACGTTTCTTCCCAAAATAAATGAAACTAATAGGCGATGTGCAAGGGCGGTTCTCAATGCGTTTGCTTCAGTTCAAATGTTGGCTAACGCCTTTGTATATATATATGTTTTGAGTCTTTGACGTTATCATATTTCGCAAAAATAATCTTGAGACGTAGGCCATCATCATAGTCGCAGTTTAATACTTTAGAAGTCTTCACTGCGAATCGAAGTTTTCAAACGTGAATTTCATAATACCCACGACTATTAGACTCACGGAAAAGGTGTGACACGACAAGTGTCTCAGTGATTGAATCTATGACCCGCATTTTCTTTCTGTGATAAAAATATAACGTGTGTTCTATCCGGTGAAAAAGATTCGCTATCCTGGATACGGGTCTTGGAGAGACTTAGGTTATTAGGTTTCTCTAAAAGACATATGGCGTGTTGGTGAATACATATACATTTCAAATAATTGAAAACAAGTTGAATGACAAATTTAAAAGGTAACAATTGATTTTGAAATACGTATGTCGTATTTCGACTACTTTTTAAAATGATTCTTCCGGAGGCAACTCCATTCACTTTGCAGGCTTGGTCGCTTAGTTACAAAATATGACGTAACAATGTTACAGAAACCTTTGTTTCCACGGAAACCGCTACCATCGTTGTTCGGGCCAGAGTTTAGCTTACAGTATTTAGTTTTTTTCTTTCGTACACTTGCTTCATGCGAGTTCATGGAAATCGCTCGCGATAATTAGGTGATGTCGGTTAAAAATTCCTGTAGCGTAACGCGCAAACCATACCCCCTGTATCTCAGTATCTGTAATTCTACCGTAATAAATCTGTAGTGTAGAGTATTAAAGTTAAGTGGAATTTGAATATCGCTTCCTTCACCATCAAGTTCACGCATCTGAAATAAATAACTGGCCAACGAATATCATACTCCACGCGAACTAGTAACCGGACGAGAGGCCGTGGTTCGCCATATGGTTGGGATGTCTAATCGGCTTACCCCTCCCTCGGGATAAATATGTAAATCTTATGTTGATTCATTCATCATCCTTAAATAACAAGATTGACCTAAACAGAAAGTCTTTTGTTACGAGTTTTCGAACTTTGAATACATAATATAAATAGTAGGTTACATTTTATAAAGTGAAAAGGGAAATCCAACAAAGTCGACCACGACCGGATGCCCGATTACCAGGTCAGTTATCCCCTCTTTCCTGGCCACGCCCCATGCGTTGTCCTTACAAAAATGCGATGGAGAGAATGTTTCCAATGATTAGAACAATGCTGTACACCAATAATTGATATATATTGACTTTGGGCAAAATAGCAACATTCCATATTGACCAGGCAAGATAATCTTTATAACTTCATTCGTTCTATTTTTTAATAAATCAGACACTAGTTGTCGATTAAAATCGAATATTCGCGCAACATGGGCCAACGCCAAACTATTGTATGCTTATCCTCATCGGTGGATCCCGAAAAGGACAACTCATTGGGTACTCCTGTGGACCCGCCAAAGTTTTTACACATGATCAATGGGTAAGTTAGTAAAACGATTTTAAATTTCGTTTTATTGTAAATGAAGTGTTAAAAATTATTGAGTACAAAATGAAAGTATACTAACAATTATATTATTCATACTTCCACTTTGATATCCAATTCACACTGATTAACCAATCCGAGCCTAACTATTTCTTATCACTATGCCTCAACCCCCCCAAACTGTAGGTATGGTTATTGTGTGTCTCTTGATTGTAAGATGATGCGACCAATTATTATGGATTATTGCCATGCAGTGTAACATATGTCATAACTGCAAATTAAAACAGGTATGTATATTTAGGCTCTGACGTTACAATCATATACCGAAAAAAATGAACTTGAGAGACATGGTCCATCGACATTTGATGGTTTATTGCTTTAGAGATCGCTACTGCAAATTTACTTCGGTCAGGGCAACAAAATGAATTCGCGTCTACATTGGCCAGGGCCGGCTAATCATTGACCCATATGTAACATGGGTAAAAACGTACTAATAATTCAATAAAGAAAAATTGGAAATAAGGCCGGCCAAAATGTTATTTTTGGGTGGTTTGTTCAGTTCCAAAAAGAATGCTTCATTCATGGTCGTTCTTTCCACGCATATAAATAAAGCCTAAAGAATTATTATCAAAGTTCGAACTGCTTCGTATTCCTGATGATTTTGCATCCCAATGTAACTTAGTTTAGTTACAGTTAAAACAGGTTGATCTTGCGGTACATTTTTATGTCAGATGTTTGGGACGAAAATTGATTTTGAGAATATAAAGCAGTTTGAACGTTCCAACTTTCCAAAATACTAAAGGGTGCATGTAGACCTACAGAACCACTGAGGCTGTTACTTAGCTTAATAGGATTTTTTCCAAAAGTTTCTCCCGTTATAGTGAAACGAATTAAAAAAAGCGACATCCATCAGTCGCCAGGGATAGTCACTAAATCCAAAACAGTGTGCAATTTGCGTCCATGTTTGTTTGCACGCGTAAAATGCAAACAGGATATTTGCACCCACAGATTTTTACCCGCTGTAAATGATCTCTGTATGGGGGTGCAAAAGTATGCAGGTACAAATTATACACGTCAATTTCGTTATTGATTCTAAGTAAATACTCTGGATATAGGTTACGACCAGTGGTGGGATTCAAATTTTTTGTCAGCCGGTTCCATCACAAAAGTCATATTTTTCGGCCGGTTCTGTTACATGTTTTTTTAATAATGCTAACCGGTTCGCTGATCTCATTAAATTCTGTGAGACGGTTCTATAGAACCGGTGCAAACCGGCTGAATCCCTCCACTGGTTACGACCCCAGGTCTACTTACCACGTTTGTTTTCGGTATAGTCTTCATTCTCTGGGCCGTGAACAGTAGATTTTATTAAAATCAAAATTGTGTCTGATATGATATATAAATTTATTTAAATTTTTGTGTGATATTATACAAATAAACCTAATATTATTTGCCTTTACTGATATTATTTGCCTCGTTTTTAAAACTGTATATTTTCAGTGATCCCACTCCCGAAGAGACGGCGAAGGGGGCGAAGACAAGTTATCAAAAAAAGAAGACGGTGAGGAATTCTCAATATTTGAACCAATCCGAAATCCTGTGAAATGTGCCACATGTAGCATAACACATCTATCTCTTAACCGAAGCAATATTATGTTATGTATAACATGATAACACAATTAATATACATTTTCAATGCTTTATTTTGATTCTATACCATTTTATTCAGTAAAAACATCAATGCAATATTAAAATTTATTCCAGGTTCGAAATACAAAATGCAAACCGCGAATTCGTGGACAATATGGATACCGTATGCCACCAAGAAGTCAAGGTCAAAGGTCGTCCACGGTAAATGATTTAATTTGACCACTCCGTCTTTATAAATATTTCTTTTTGTATTTTTTGGGGGCGATATTATCTTTAATTTATAAATTCAAATTGCAGGTTATTCCTGTCAAACACAATTTGAAGCTTTGGGGTACATTTGGATGCCACGTGAAACCACGAAGCGGCGGAGTGGTAGCCATGGTAAGAAACCTATCGGCATTACGTTATGCAGTATCTTATACTTGTAATGGACGAATTTACAAACATAAAAAAGCAACAGAGTTTTTTATTTATTTTTCAAGTCTTGTTTAATACAAAAGGAATACGCAATACTCATATTATTTGTTCCATGAAATATTACTTAACGCTAACCCAACGAATATATATATATGAAATAATTTTATGTTTTTATTCGTTTTGGACGTTAACAGACATCAGCTGAATCTTGCAGAGAGCTCCGTTGCACACGTATGACCGATTTCGGTAACTATATTTTGATGATTTGGTATACATACAGAAAAGTCACTTCTTTATGGCTCCAATGTGTCAGGAATTTGAGTATAATAATAAGCCGCTTACTTTAAATTAACTTCCTCCACGTAGACTCCGATTGCGTAGTCCTCGTGACAATGCATATCGTTACGATTCATATCAGATTTGAAATCATGCAAAGATCTTCCGCGGTTTGTTTTACATTGACTCATCTTAGGTTAGAAGTTTCGCGTTCTATCGTACTCAGTTTAAAGGAATAAAGAAATACTTAATTGAACGAAATAGCAGAGATGACTTTTTTATTTGATAAAATCACATTTCAGAACCACTATGTGATGAAAAAAACATTTTATGAAAATGGTTTCCATCTCTTTGTTATATATCAATTTTTTTTCGTTTCAGATCACCGCATGACAGCGGGATGAAGTGAATGTTCTATTTTGTTTGATACTTTTTATATTTTTTATAGATACAACTATATATATATAATAAATATTAACCTTTATATTCACAAAACGCTTTATATCAAAACCTGTGTCAAGTGTTTCGCGCCTATGGGTTAGGAAAGTATGATTCCAAATTTTCTTATATCACCTAAAATCGCAACATGCTGTTTCGGAGAACAACAAAATTGAAAATTCTCCTCTATGAAAGAAACATTTTGTAGTTCTAAAAATGTCCAATATAGATAAGACTTTTATCTTTTGATTAGTTTTATTTCATGGTGCTGTGGTACATTATAAATGACGGTCATTTAAGTCATCGTATGTTGTCTACTGATTTGGTAAGTAGTGCTACTTCCAAAAGTAATCCTTATATATCTTCTCCACTACATGTATCTTCTCCACTACAGTTGAAGAAGTAATGCATCTCAATCCAGTATGTTCCATGTTAAATACTGAATGCACTGAGCAGAGTATCAAGCAGCGAAATGTATTTGCATTTCGTCACAATCATAAGTTTCCCTTTGGTGCATGGTATTAGAAAAATTATCAGTAGTAATGGTTCTTCGTCCAATTTGTGTTCTGAACAAAATGTTTCCAATGATTTTTCTTGTTTTAAAGAAATTTGCGAAGTGGAAGAGGCGTGTGCGAGATGCAAAGCACAAATGTGATCGTCTGTCTTTTGTGTCTGAGAGTTGTACTGACAAGTGTTAGATGATGAAGTGAGTCTGATCGATGGTGAGGTAGATTTTGGATCTTCAGTCTGATTTATATCTTGCCAAAAAAAAAAAACAGACTAAATGTGTGGGGTTTGTTTTGTGATAAGTGTGTTATGAGTGATTGCTTGTTAGCCTTCTTGACCAGGTTGATCATGTTGAATGATTTTGCTACCTTTTGAGTGCTTGTGATATGCCATTTTAGAGTAATTTATTAAAAGCAGTTTGTTACTGTAAGTAAGTCATCTGCTGTTGCATTTTTAGTATTCCACAGACTTTCACATAGTATAACCAAAAAGGTTGTCTGGCTTTGAGATATCTTGTCCCCGTTATCGAGGATGGGCCTGTTAGAAATTTCACGGAAATTATTAGCTGCAGCCTTTTAGCTTTTTCCTTTATTCCAAGAGAAAATAAAGGCATTATTATGGTAAAAATCGTTCAATATATGCGACCTCTGTGTTATTGTGCCCATTTTTGTTCAGCATATCGTTCAATAAATCATGAATAATTATAAAAAAATGCCATGCATATACATATATGTTTCACATCTTTAATTCAATTTGAACAGAAGATATTTCAATTACAGACGTGCTCAGACTTCTGACATGGTTACAATGGTATAATTAGACTGTTTGTTACTTGAATGACTTATTGGGGTTCAACCTCATCCTCCAAGCATGCCAAATCAAATTGTATTATACTCTTATCTTCTTCGCCACATGCTAGCAGATATCCTGGGATGCAAGTGAACGACGAGACAGCAGAATGAAACACCCTGAAAAGAAATCACCAGAATATCAAATTTTGCTAAATCTTCTAATCTACACCAAATAGTGACATTTACGAGATTACCTAATCATGTGGCGAATAAGGGGAACAACGTACTTTTGTAGTCTGGTTATGCTCGTGATATCAAAGAGACATCATACAAGGGGTTCACATATATTATTGTCAAACAGGCATAGAATTTTCAAAGGGTTTGTTTTAATTACTCAACACAGATGATTCGAAATCATTTCAGAATCTTCTATAGTAAACTCCGATACCCACCTTATTAAAGTTTCATTTGGGTAAGACGCAATGGCTGGATAATGATAACTTCTAACGCATCCTAATACATCGCCGACACAGCATGTTATAGCTGAGCTAGGAACCTCGACGTCGATAGAAGTTGTACGCCAATTGCTGAAACTTGACTTGAATCCGCTCATGAATTTATCTTTGCTAGACGAAGTCGCATTTCTGCTTACGTACGTAACGTCTGTTACGCACAGATTGGAGAGCTCTTCGTGATTTGTAAAATGGTCCCAGACGCCTAGAAAAATACACGAGTAGGGTAACTTTCAGATTTTATTATAGCCAAATATATTAACAATCGTCACAATGTATAAGTATGAAACTTCGTATGTTTCAGTATACGCTATGTTGTTCACGTGCTTTGTAGCGCTAATAACATCAGTGATCTTCTGCGGCATCAATCAATGAGAAATAAAAATAGTACATCGATCAAGTGCCATACATACAATACTTTCAAATCAATCGAAACACGAATAACAGATTATATTAGGTATATATTGGATATTCCGCTCGTAGACGGACAAATTCAATAGCAGTTTCAATCATGTTTTTGATACTTCCCTTCGAAGTCACCTCGAAATTTATATTTCTGACTTTACAAATGACTAATCTCCTCTATGTTTTAGACGAAATATTATGAAGATTTATTTCATTCTGATTATCCATTACCCATTGAGCGCATGGATCTTACCTTTTATCGAAAAGTCAATTGAACCAGTGTTAGATTGCCATTTCATGTTTCTGACGGTTGATAAATCTTCAATGTTTTTGGCGGGTTCAATCGACCATACAAACACTTCTGGATCTACATAACAAATTATATTTGAATTATATTTTATTTTTAATTCTTCCATTATCAATATTTCGCTGCAAAGTTGGTCTTATAGAAACGATTCAAACCACGATTCACAGCCATTGATGGAGTCATTTTTTTTATCAAATAAATTATCTCAATTAGGTTACATAACGTGGCTTTGGCAGATATTTGTCGGACTATGTAATATAACATATTCGAAAAATAAGGCGTAGTGTCACCTGGAGTAAGAGCAGTCGTTCTCAACAATTCAGATCCTCGTAATCTTTCTGAAGACCAATCAAGTGAATTGATAGTTTCGGAGTTGTGTCCAAGACATCTGAAATAACAATCTATTACTACCTCTAATAATAAAATTCATTTCAAACTTTTGTCACCGTGCAAAGCATTGAACAAGTGGTGTTGTATATATATAGAATTTCGATGTTATTCTGCGAAAAATTATATTTTGTTTTAAAATAGTAAAACCCCGACACCGAAAGCTGTTTACTATTTTAATCTTATTAGCGTATTTTTTTGACTAACTAACCTTTCAAGTTCATGAATCCCAGAACTCTTCACCGACGCGATGACAATTTCATTTCCAACGCTGAAGGCAATCCGTTTGCCGTTCATTGAGAATCGGATTCCACATATGGCTCGAGAACCTCTTTTACATCGAAAATTAGTTTCAGAAATTTGCTGAAAGGAGATGTAACGGTTGAATTGTCAACAACTTTAAACGACAACGCTTAAATTAAATAATACAATCAAGAATTTAAATTGTTGAATGCAGTAAAATAGAAATAGCTACATAAATATCACAGATTTCGTACACAATCTAAATACATTCTCTATCTATATAGCTTCCCAACTTGGTTTACAGTATATTACATATATGGGGAAAATTTCAAATATTTATTGGATAAGAACTATATTCGCGTCAAACGCTTGCTTGCATGACATTGGTATTTAAATTTTGGATATATATATATATTTTTAAGTTTCTTCAACAAGTTCCTCTTTAGAGTCTCCGTAAATATTTTGTCCTTCGTGACTGGATTTGGGGTTATTCGACACTGTTGCATCATCAAATCAAATTATCATTAAAATAAGTAAGGAGTTTCTTGCGATTTGACCTAATCTACACTGAAGCGACGTTGTAAATTAGGAGTTATAATAACAGATTCTCACCTCAAAACCGTCCAATGATAATCGTAGAAGTGCAACGTGCCCGGTTGCAGATCCGATGATGAGCATACTTCGCTTAGAACAACAATCCATACAAGTGAAATTTCTTTTAGTTGCCAACTTGGCTGTAGCAACGCAACTAAAAATTGAAATTTAAGAATATTTGAGTTTGAAAATATTTATCTATCATGTTCTCTTGGCACCGTACAAAATTTTTGCCCCATTGGGCATTCGGATGAATTATGTAAGTCGATTATTTATCGGAAAAAGTGATATAATTTAAACTGAAACTTAGAAGCATGGACATTCTGCAACGTAGTTTTGAAATATTACAAACAGAAAACGATGTAGTTACGACGTACCAATGATCTTTCGCATCATATATTGTGATGCAGCAGTCGTTAGAAGCTGTTACGAAGAATTGATGTAACCCTGCTTCGTCTGTGAATGGTTCGGGAGATTCACGACAATCTACACCTTTTGGAAATGATGAAACAGCGAATACTCTTTTATCAACAAATTCATCTTGTGCGAAATACGGCATCACATTTTGTGCTTCAATGTCGTTCTTCGCTCTTTGGAAAATATTCAAAAACAGATATAGAATATGTAAATTAAACATTATAAATTAATTATGATAAAAAATATATACTGCCGAACTATGTAAACCAAGCTGGCGGACACCGGAACGTATTATGTGTACCAGGTTAGGGTTAGGTCATAATTTCAGGTACAAATACTACGGAAGTCACTTGGCTAGTTCCCGAACTCGTAATAGAACTAAAATAAGGAAAGTTGGAATAAAATTATGGCCTAACCCTAACCTGGTACACATACTACGTTTCAGTGTTCGCCATCTTGGTTCGCATACTACAGAAGTACAAAAAAATAAGCGATCGACGATCTGCTACCCCACAAGTTAGACTGTATTTCAAATCATTCACAGAAATAAACTAATAAATAGTAGCCATTTGAAATACTGTACTTCATTTTTTCCCCACGTACAATACAAGTGATCGAAGTTCCACATTCACGTGACTCACATTAGCGATCGAGGCAAGCAAATGCCACAACGCATCACTATGGTCAAATATATTGAAAAACTTAATTAGTCTTCATGGTAAACCCAACTATTAACGGTTAACAGACTATCTCACTTTCTCAAGCTTCTTTCGCTAGTTCGTAATTTTGGAGATGCGAATGCAATAGTGAGCTTCGGAGGTCCATCTGGCGTTTGAGATCTCGATATATCAGTTTGTGATATTTTAGCGCTGGGTTTATATGTTCTTGCAGACTGTAGAGGCCTTACATCAACAGCAGGTTCTGGTCGACGGAAGCTGTAATAATACATGATAAAAATATTACGATTCCTTGCGAAGTTTACTTAAAACATGTTCCAACACTACTCACATTGCACTTCTTGACAATCGTCTCAAATTTGATTCGTCTGGTGTTGGCGTCATTTCGCTTGTTTCTGTTTGACATTATAAAACATTACAAGCGGACTACGAGCGTTCCAAATATTTATGGTAGCTGTCGCGAATACATTAACTTTAAGACAACAATACAGAACAGCCCCATCAAAAACGGCCAACATTGATTGGTATACATCCAATTTACACTTATGTAATATTATCAGTCATTTTCTTTGCCTGCTACTCTTTTTATTTAAAATATATGGTTTAAAATATATGGTAATTGACGCTTCGCAATAACATAGTAATAATGTTAACTTCACAAATTTGCATACAAACGCATAGAAATAAGAGCCTCACTCTAAGATTTGAATTCAAAATAGCGAATTGGTAGGTCGTGATTATTTATCTTGTTACTAAGTCTATGTGATGTTGATGAGTAACTTACTTGCTCTTTTCTTAAAATACGATGCCGCGCAAACACATTTCACATCTTCCTTTGCTTCCTCTTGCGATCTCTCTGGAGTCTAATTGACCAAATATGTTATTATTTACAGCACTGTCATTCTCTTCCATATTGTTTTTCTTGTTCCCAATTTTAAACTTGTTGATTTCATCTGTGAGTACTGTTCTACTTTGAAAGAATGAATAGCCTGAGTGGTTGATAACAACCGTGCAAATTAAGTTCTTCGTTGTTCCGATGAATAAATTTTCACCAACAATAGATATAGCTGATACTTGTCCGATGTTTTTAGGTAAAGTGAGGTTACCTACTCGTTCCAATTCTCTTTTACCCCAACTAAAAGCCCGAATCTTTTTATCCGATGCTCCACCGGTGAAAATGTGATCTGTGATATTTTAAAAAGTATTTGATTGTTATGACGGCAACATAAAATGTAGGTTTGAATTCGAATGAGTCATAAGTATCATAGTGTAATTTGATTTTATTCGAATTTTTATACTAATTTACAAAACGTAGGTTTCGTAATTAAAAAGAGAAGTATTTACACGAATGAGTCATAAATATCATAGTGTAATTCGATTTTATTCCATTTGTGTACTAATTTACAAAACGTAGGTTTTGTAATTCAAAAGAGAAGTATTAACACGAATCTGCGTTATAGATATTATTCAAGAGTCAGCAACGCTTGAGCTTCAACATGTAACAACAACAATTTATAAAACTATCAATAGGTAAATATTGTGTAATCTTTAGATTACACTATAATTCATCCTGCATATATGTTATTATCAAAATACATGAAAATGTCCACAGATTCAGTATTACATTGGCCAGGAATTAACCCGTTTGTGGCGCGAATATCTATTGTCGCTAAATGATATTTGCTCAAGTTAGTAAACTTAACATTTGGCTTAATATTAAACTATCTAATGTGACAATTTTGAGTTACCTTTTGTTACTAGAATACACGATATAGGACATTCATGTGCATGTTTACATCCGCCAACAACCTCTTTCAAACTTTCTGACCAGATCAGTATCGTCCCATTCGTATCCCCAGTTACAAAAAGTCCTGTACCGCCACGTTCCGCCTTTACACAACAGGAAACAAAACGAGGGAGAAAGTGTTTCACAAAATCACCCCTAAACGTAATCACAATTACAATTATAAATACATTTCAATTTCATGAAGTTATATTTTTGTCGTGCATGGTTCTTATAGGAAAAACCATGCGTATTTAAATATGTTGCATCAGGAAGGATTGAAATTATGTTTGGACTAGAATATAAGCATAGAATGAATGTATTTCAATAAATTATAGATAGTTTTTTTTAAATTATTTTATGAATGATGAATAGAGAAAATTCGAATAAAAACACAATGGAAAGGAGCTCGACTAAGTCAGCAAATCGTACCGAATTTATTTAGTTAATTGTTAACGAACCTCTTTGGTCCAATAATTTTGACGAATTCTTCATCTGATGAAGTTCCAGTATAATCAATATCTTTAATCTCCCAGAATCCTAGATGTTCTTTCCCAGCAATGACAAACTCAGCTCCATGGAGCGATGTAGCAGCCAGACCACGAGGTCCATTATCTGAGAACCAAAAGTAAGACGTTTTGGGGTATATCAGTTACACCAATTAGGATTCTGGGCGTGGCAGACATATCGCGTTGCAGTGTTTAAGTAGTATACAATACACTATTGTAGTATAAAAGAACCGAACAATAACATTTGTATCAGCCTGACCTGGCTTCCGTGCTGGCGCAGGGTTTTTCATTTTTCTTTTTCCAGTAGAAACCGCGGGTTCTGGAATCTCTGCCACATTCGGGTTCGTGGAAATTCTTTTCATTTTACAACCTCCATCCCATAGCGTAAGAGATGCTTCTTCGTCGTTTTCGATAGTCAAAATATAGCTCTAAATATGAATAAAATCTATGGTCTCAAATATCACTGAATCAAAATAGTAATTGATCACATTACAGCAGCGATGTATGACGTTTTTAGCGACAACATGCCAAAGTATAGTAATCTTATGTTACAATATTTTCAAAGTATTTCCTAATAAAAATTGTCACTAAAGTTTTACTGTTACAGACAACAATCATGTATATATACATTTTCGTTAGAATGTCAAATCAACACGCTTTGTTACGAAACCAATGCTAACTGGTGCGAACTCGCAATTCAGGCTAACCCATTTATTTTGAAATATTAATTTTCAGGCGTCTTCACCTTGTAATTCATGAATTGCATTTTTCGAATTGTATGTTGGAAAGTTCCAACACGCATTATATACATTGTTGTCAAATCCATAACACTCCAGACTCGAATGTGAATTCTTCCGTGATTCGATTCGTGCTTCGCAGAATCAAGTAAAGTTTCGGACGCTGTCGTCAACATATCAGATGCTGTTTTACTTTCACTCTGTGCACTACCAACAATACTATGATCGGGATGAACGGCAACACTGGAAAACAGGATTGAACATGTTTTTAGTACTCATTCGATGCGAACTATTTGTTTCTCAAAAAAATCCAGGCGTCTTCTGTTGAATTCAAATACTAGAAAGCAATGTTTGGAGAAAAATATCAGTTATGAAGTGCATGAATGAAGCGATGAGCTCAAGTAATGGATGCTCAAGCTTCAAGTTTGTAATTCGATCCATTCTTTTAATTATTATATATCACGCCAATGAAGTCATGGTCGCCTTCCACTAAAAAATTCTACAAAAAAGCAATTCAATTGTTTTGTATCCTTATATTTATATAACTCACCAGGAAATTGGTCCCGAATGTCCTAGATAGTGTCTTTGAGAATATCTCGCGTGGTTGTACAGAACAACAACGCATCCGGATCCGTATACAATCTCATCGTCACCAACCGAAGCTATGCTCTGTCCGTGCGATATTTCACAACCATAACTGCAATGAAATAAAAATTGATTCCCTATAACATGAAACATTTTATTGGAAGCGTGCAATATCTTAGCTAACCCGGGACCATAAAGCTTTCTCATATTTTGGGGGAGATGCTGCATCCATCTGAAATGTATTATTCAAATCGGCAGTATTCGAAATTTCGAAATAATTTGGTTTATTTGTTCGTTTTAAGTACCAACAGCTCTTCATATAAATATAAAAAACGAATATTTACTATGTAGTAAAATACTTACACCCAGTTTATTTCCAGTTTTGGTTCAGATGTTGTTGTAAAATTTTCGACTTTGTCAGTGTACTCTTTGTTATTATTCCATTCAGGAGGAAATACCGTCATCTCGCAACTTCCCACGTATATGGTTTCTCCCCCAAAATCAGCGATACTCTTTGTATCACATTCTGTCTCCTTCACTTCATTTGTTTCTTCGTCATCTCCAGACGACGACAGAAAGAAATCTGAGTCTTCGTTTTCGCTGATCTCGCTTGTTATAAAACTATCCGTTGAATAATCTGTTAATTCCTCAGTCGGTAATGCCTCAGACGTGTTTTTATTTGCTGGAGATTCAGTCGTTGGAAGTTCACAATTTGTGATTTCACGGAGTGATTCTTGACTTTGTGAACTATCACTATCTTTGTCTACTATATATTTTTCAGGCATTTGCTGAATTGATTGTATGTCCTCATGTTCTGTTTTTACAGCTTCTTTTTCGATCAATTCGGTTTCAGCGATCGATGAAACCTCTATTATTACTTTCTCTTTGTCGTTCCCTTCATTCTCGGCGTATATTTCATCCTTTTCGTTAATACAATTTTGATCCGTGTTTGTTTTCTCAGCTATATCCTTGTTTTCCTTCGAAAATTCATTATCCGTCGACGTGTGTTCTAGGACAGTTTCCGTTACTGCTTTTGAATCGTCAGTTGGTTCTTCAGTCTCGATTTCTGTATTCACTCCTTCGCTCTCTGCAGTAATAATAGAATCAATTTTCATTAATAACATTTCTTCTAAATCTTCTTCTTCCGTTTCTGTTGATATCGCAACATTTTGACTTTGCTCATCCTGCTGTGGAGTAAAATTTGGATCAGTTTTTAATTCGTCATTTTCTATGTACTCTTCATTGTTTATTTCTGACAATTCTGTTTCTGTGATATGATCATCGTTTACATCTATTTTCTCGTCATCAATTTTCTCCTTTTTATTTTTTTTTCTAGTAAACAATGTTTCTTTTTTGTCGTCAATTTTTTTCCGACCTTCTTCTTCTATATCAATAGGCTCTTGTTCGTTTTCAATAATATCCACTGTTTGCGATTCCGATGTTTCCGCAGATTCTTGATCTAGAAATGAGAGCATATCATTTTCCATTCCAGAATCAATTTCTGCCTCATTGTTGAACTCGTTAGCATCAGTAGGAGTTTTTTCTTGCGAATTAGCGTCAACGTCCTCCACCGTGATGGTAATTACGCAAGGTTGATTTTTGCGCTTGGATTTTTTCCTTTTCTTGCCATTTTTTTCTTCAATTTTTATTATCGTCCCGTGACCTCCATTCGTTTCATCAGATGAATCGGAATTTGTAGGCAAAGATTTCTTCTCTGGTTTTGGTACTGTTAAAAATGTCATCTTCGGCTTTTTTAGTTTTTCATCATATTTCTCTTGGGCACTTTCATTTGTGCCTTGATAACTTCCATCACTATCTTGAGTTTTGTCTGGATTTTCGAGAAGGATATTTAAAAGCGTTTTATTTGGTGAAGAATTGTTTTGAGTCTCTTCGAGTGGAGTCGTTGAATTTTCTTTTGTGTGAGACTCGACGTGCTTTCCCACCCCCGTAAGAGCAGATACGTTTGCTACCATCCTTCCGACTCTACGAAATTCATCTAGAGATAATCTTGAAGTCATTTTTTTAAATGATGAAAGCTGGGTGTAATCAGAATCCTTTTCAGAAGAATCTTGATTTCTACAAAAATGATAACTATTTTGTTGAAAATGTAAAACAAATATCAAAACATAATATATCAAGCATATATTCACGGCGTGTCTTTGTGTTTGATCTTCTGTCTGTTCATTCGTTTCTCTGCGGCCATTTCACCAGCAACAAGCGCTTCTACGCTATCCCGCCCTATCCGAGAAACATTATATATATATATATATTCAAAATTAAATATAATTTAAAATGTTACTGTAACGTTTAAATTTATTTTGAGTAAACCCTAACTGGTCTAAATGCACATCATGATCATATTTTGAGTGAACGAGAATTCGAATGGAAATATTCGGAAACTATTCTCTGTGTAAATTTCAGATCGTTTTAGCAGACTGATTCCATTTAACCCAATTAACAATTATCCAATTCTTTTTTTTTCTGGAATATTAGTTTAAGGTTACTTGTAAAACTATACATTATCAATATTACTTGTTCTTTTCTGAGATTCTTTCAAGTATTTAGATGCAATCTCTACGTCAATTCCTCGTTGATCTTTTATTAGCGTCAGGAAATGTTTTGCGGTTCTTACGGGAAATCTAAAATATTAACATTTACAACAAACATTGTACATTGATGGTAGTTTGGACTTGCATTTAGAGTTTCGAACAGGTTTCAAACCTAAAAAGTAAGGCTCTTACACCATTGTTTTCTTCATTCTCTGTCAATAACTTTCATTTTTTATCTTTTTGGTCAATTTTTGTTTTTCTGGATGCTGTTTTGATATATCTTATTTTATGTATCGTCTCAACCATTTTATGGACTGCAAGTGTGCGCCAAAATTTGAAACGTAATCGCGCATAATAGTACTTAGAAATTCACGTTTGGAGAAAAAAGCATTGCAAACGTTTTACTAACAATCCTATATACTTAAATATTGATATCAAAGTACAAAATATCTCAATGCGTAAAGGAAGAAATAATAAATAGCGTTGCATTTAAAAGCTACTAAAGGACTCACCTCAGACCGCTGTTTTCCAAAATTGTCCAAAACTGTCGCTCGTTCTTCATTCTGGAATCTGTTGCATATTTACGCAATTCCATCTGAATATATCTGACCCGTTGACGACTCACATGACCGAGGTTTCTAGCAAGTGCTTGATGAATGTCGGCATCTGAGTTCATCTTTTTTGTTTGTTCAATACTTTCACATTTGAATAGTAAAGGCTTGCTGGCAACAGTATTTTGACCTATAGGTCCTTGTATTATAATAGCAGCCTCTAAATTTCTTTCCGGTATCTATAGATCGTGGATTCCGAAGATCGAGTCTTCAAATTATAAACTAAAGGATGATAGTGAGTTTTCTGAAACTTTAATTAAAGTTATTATCACATTTCCAGCTGAGAACATTCAGTTTGCAGACATATCATCGTAGATACACTATATGCACAGCAAGCTCAATGAGAGCTAATTGTTCTACATTCAGCTGTGTTATCAAATGAACAATGGAGTAGTCTCGTGAACTGAAATCCGATATTATGAACAGAAAGTTTTTTACGCGTCACTAATACAGAAAAACATATGAATACCAATGTAATTAAAACGTTTAAGCGATCGGCTATTTTGATGTGTGAGATTCAAACCAACTTGTGCAACCGTACAAAATGGAAGCTAAAGGTGTATGCAATATTGATAAGAAGCGTTCATTTATCCTCGTCTATAGTGTTCTTTCAGGGAATTGGAATACGTCGCATAGGCCTAGAATAAGCCACAAAATCGATTGTGGCACGGCCTACAACAAATCGATTTACTGTGCACACAGCCACAAGTTGACCCAAAAAAAACATAACCCATAAATTTCTTAATTACTTCTACAAAAATGAAGTAAATTATTATGTCTACACATAAAGTTCGTGCACGTTTGGACCCAGAAGTTTCAGAAATCTAGGTCGTTTTGCACAAAAATTATGTAACAAATGCGCTCCCATCCGTTTAGCAAAATTGCCAGTCAATCGTACACACTAATCTACGGGGATTTCTCTGATTTTTGTTGCAATTGCAGCCTCAAGTTCACCAATTGTTTGAGGATTGTTTGGATTTCAAGTCCGATGAATAAGGTACTCTAGGTCACTGCTAATCAGCCTTTTTTGAAATCGCTCTCTGAGCCAGTTCATGGGGTTGGTCGCCTGGTCATGCTGGAAGCAATGGTCACCTCTACCAATTCCTCTACTTCGTCCAAATGATGCCCAGAACGTAAACGGCATCACCCATCACGTCACGTTCCGTATATACCTTTGGAGCTTTTTCATTTTTGTCTTCAAACCAATACAAACCGATTACGAGATGTTTGAAAATGATTCGAGGGTACTGTGCCCCAGTAAACATTATTGATGCTTCTGACATATCCTGACTGCATTAGTGTGCCATACAAAAGAAAGGATATTGAAGCTTTAATGAGTTTTCTGCAAAATAGTTATCTCGAATCGATCCAAATGCTATCAATTATTAAATTATTACCTTGTTATCTTCAAAATTGAAATTGCACTATCACTACTATTTAATGTGTACCGTATTTCCAGATATTAGACGGATTTACATGACCTATTTTTAAAAACCAATTTACTCGCGTTGGATTAGCTTTTGCACAGCAAATACCGGGAGTCAAAATCGGCGTGGGCGGTACCCGAAAATACGATTATAAAAAATCATAACTCGTCCTTTCATGTTACTCATTTCATATCAAGTTTGCCTTCTGTAGACTTTTAAACTTCCAGATTAGCAATTGAATTGATATTAGAAGATGACCAAGTGGGCCTGACAGTTACACGCAACACTTAAAATTGCAAAAAAATGAAGAACATACTTGGATGAAATTTTGAAGCTGCCACGTCTACAAAAATTCTCTGCCGCGACCGCAAAGTTGAATAACATTTCAACGCTCAAGGGGTAAAATTAGGCACTTATCGCAATGCTTCCCTAAAAGAGGAATTTCAATTTGTTTTTATATATATCGCAAGCACTTCGCATTGGGTATATATTATGTAGCATATTAATTCAGTTTGTTATGATAAATCACTTGGCTCTACAAAAATGGGAATGCGTCTTGCGCATAACATTGGCAAGCGGTCCATTAGATATTTAATAAACATAGTAATATTCAAAGAGTGGGAGGGAGGGTTCCAAAATAGGTAAAGGTTTGGAACCAGAGACTTATAATCAACTTAAAATGCGTGCTGTCAACAGATAAGAGGTCATGTTAGTAAGAGTGTTCTGAAGTGGGGACACCTTAGCTTGGAATTGGTCAATCCGAAGTCTTAAAATTGGTATCCATTGTTTCTCGTTTTTAATTTTTCCGCTTATTAACAAATTAATTTTTACTATCATTGATTACGATAGATTTTATAGAAAAAGTCGCACATAAAATTATTTTATTCTGTGCCCTCCTGAAAAATGCTTCGCGATCCCCAGGTTGGGAACCACCGTTCTAGAGAGAACATAACTTTTGTACAAATCCAAGATTTCTGAAACTATTTTTTTCCATAGGAGTAATTGATGAATTTATGTGTTCGTTTCGTTGGGTCACTCTGTGTATATACCTCGCCCAGAGTCAACGAATAATTAATATAATATCAATTGCATTTATTATAAATATAAAATAAATCTTAGGTCTTAAAACTGTAGTTGTCGCAAAAAATTGAATGCTTGGTTCGTAATCGATTAACGTCCCAACTAATAAAGGGGTTTCCATATTGTTGATGGAAAATATTTCAACCAAAAAAAAAAACGGCAAGGTAAAACTGCAAAAGTACACATAACCCAAAGTAATATAATGCTTGAGCTAAAAATGTATTAGTATTACGTGTGTAAGTGTTCTATGAAGAAATGAACGATTTCGAAGAATGACTGCCTTTTTCGTACCCCATTTTCTCTTTAGAATAATGCTTTAAATATTGTAACCATAACCATACTGTTCTATTCAATGATATTTCAAATTCATTTAGCAAATTTATTTCTTGCCATTGTTGTAAACTGCTTGTCTGAGGAAGTCTGACTCTGGTCGGACGAAACGTTACAGAAATACATTTGTGTTAGTGTGCAGCTGGACTCTTTAATTGAATAGAATAGTCATGTTTATTCCAGCTACAGTATCCTTGCAGTATACGCATACGGATCCACTAGCATATAGGCATAGAGAAAAGATAGGAAGTTAGTCTCGCGCAACCCAACTCAAATTCATAACCATACTGTTCTTCTTTGTTATGATTTTTGCAGTTTCCATTTCATGAGAATTAGTGTCCTCTGCAAACGAACAGTGTAGAAAAATTGTGAGGTGAAAACCACCATTAACGATCTATCGTTCGTTCACGGCAATACATGTACATGCTGTATGAAACATGAATGAATAAAACGCCGAACGAGAGACACCAAGCGGCCAGTCCGAGACTCATCATGATTGTGAAAGCCAACAATAATCCATCTCGACCGGGAAATGGAGTTGCCAGTTCCATGAATTCCAACCTTGAGGTAAAATAAAAGAATAACTCGTCAGTGCAAGAGGATTACCACCATAATATTTCTCTTGATATAAATATAACAAGAGAGCTACGCCCAAATATATGGACACGTCTGTTCGCAGTACAGTACGGTTTACCGTACCGCCAGATCACAGTCTACAAATATATTCACACCATGCGAACCAGTACAGTCGGACACAAAATGGCGTCCGATGTCCGCAGAACGTTCGGTGACGTCATAGCAAACAAAAACAAAACTCACAGAGCTAACAGAAATATTTGAAATAAATAAAAGTAATAGCCTTCTGGAGAAAAATTTTATCTGTAACCACTGAAAATTTCAGAGCAATTGGTCTAGTAATCAAAGAGAAAGGCGACTTTTTAGATTTTCCACTAGGTGTCCGAAAAGTGTCGAAGAACAAGAACAACAACAACATAATATTGAAACGATCGCTATGTCCACTACGTGTCCAATAAATACAAGTAAAGCAAAAGTTTAGGAACCGGAATCGTTTTAACGAAACGTGACAGTTAATTATTCTCACTTTATATAAAACACAATTTGGCCCTGACATTTTATTCTATCATGTGCTTGCGCAAATTTTGTTAAATATAACTTTTATTGGGAATTAATCGGTCTAATTTTAAATATCAATTTTTTATCCTCAACTCTATTGTTATCACTCCCAGTCAGAGATCAAGCACAGAATAGTTTTGATATTGTGTATGACATCATTGGGGAAATAACGCTCCCTTCTCTAAAGAAAGTTTTCTCCGGATAAAATATACGTATGGTTACTTTGATATTCAAATAAATATTAGTGGAGGATGACAAAAACATATTTTTAAAGCTGTATATTCTATCATTATCTGAACGAACTATGATATTTATCGATGTTTATATAAATATTTAAAGAAGTTTGTACATACAACTAGATAAAATTTGACGGTCGCTGGCGGTCTCGCCTGTGAAATACCGCAAAAGTTCATGTTCCCTGAGTATGTAAGTTGCAACAAATACGTTGAGTTCATACTAGTCACAATGGTCCATTCTAACGGAATTGAACTAGAAATGAAGCATCATCAAGAGGGAAGCTGGCAGTTGATTATGACGGAACAATAGTGAAAGTTGCAATTACTGAAGCCCGAAAATATGCTGGACTACCATCTTATAAATTGAGCGAGGAAATAATAACAATAATTTTTCGATGTTAAAGATCGCGTGCCGGCGGTGACCTTGAAAGGCGAGAAAAGGCAATAAATAATGCAACAAGCCCAGCTGTTCATCTTGACAGCAACATAGTACAAAATATGTGAAATCTTTAAGCTTCAACAAAAATTCAAAATGTTTATCATGTCAGAGATTTTTATCAGAAAAGTATTGCATTTAAAACCACGTATCAACGTAAACTGTATCAAGTCTTCAAATCAGCATTCTAAAGTGTCACAATAAACAGTATCTATTTCGATAATCGATTAAAATATATATGTATTTACGTGTGAGAATGAAAAACTTTTAATTTCAGACTTTATTTTGGATTTTAGTAATAATATCTCTCATTCTTTTTAAGCGAATAAGGCGCAGTGTATTAAAAAAACTTAACTTGTATGGTGCCACTCACTAGGTGTCGCTCTCAAAACTCTGTCCAAGCTTACCTCATGACGCTCATTGTTGGAGTGATAACGAGCAATGGTGACACAGTGGTGCAGGATACAAATGCAATAAAAATAGCCAATCCTCGTAGCATATTCCACCAAAACGTAACGTGACCTCCGTCGGGCCAAAGAAGACGAATTATGACCTTAAAAAGAAATGAGAATTAGCTCGGGCAATTTAGAACTGATGTAGGACAACTAGATACGTAAATGCCGAGTGATTATGATTTTCTTCTATTTACGATTCTCTTTCTGCAGCTCCTTATACGTAAACATTGTTAGTAGGTTATTGTTTTCCACACGTAGTACCATGTCACTTTTTGTCAAATTTATGATATATAATTGTGTTTTATTAAGGTTAATTATCATGGGTGATTACTTTTGTAGGTAAATGGCAATACTTGTACGTCTCTATCATTGAGATATTGTAAAGTGAATGCTAATAAAATTCTTACAATGAATAAAACTAATCCACCAGCGATCCCATCTACAATTTTTGTGAATATAGCAACGAGCAAACTCTTTGTAACCCCATCCTGAAGCCACCAGAGAGGACCCATGTCTGAACAATCACCGTCTAGTGCACAATGCCAACACCTGCAGATATTATAAAGTTGCTAGTTTATAAAATCAACGCAGAAGTTTTGTATGTACTGTACTGCAAAAAAAACTTGCAGGATAGCTACACATACGAAAAACGTTATATTTTATCTTCTAATACTACCGTATTACTTCGTTAACACCTGAAAATAAATGTACACCGCAAACACTTTAACCTGAAATTAAATTGTCATTAACCAAGTATTGTATTTTATCACAGTGAATCAGGGCAGTTTTTCGTGTCAATAAGTGACAATGTGTATTTATCAAACATGTCATCATGTTATTAGTCAAAGGAGAATTTTTGATCAAATATAGTGATATTGTCGATCTTGTTTGCTGAAAATGACAAGCAAATTTTCATAATTAAAACATGTCCGAAATTTTCATTTTTCCAAGGCATCATTTATGTATAACAAAGTCAACCGCCAGGGAACTGGATTAAACGTATCTTTATTAAATTTGTGGACGCAATAAACTAGTTACTATAGTTAATAGCAATTCAAAACTATGGAACACCATGTTCACAAACCAGGTCGAAAATATCAGGTTCCAGCTCTTTTGAGTTAAAGGGAAAGATCTCTATCTAAGAAGTGATTTTCTTCAGTGTTTTAAATTAAAGTACTTAGGAAATAATAAATTCTCTCCGTGTTTACTGCAACATATCAGTAGAAAACAACCAATTGAAGAAAATAAACTAAAGGTATTATGAAAGGGCTACAAAAAAAAATTATAATGTTTGCTTCTGTTATAATATTCTGAATAAACTCACTCGAACCCTTTTTTTCCGAGATGATATGATGCGGAGTGAACGCTCAATGCTCCTGTTATAAGTTGTAAGGGCATACACGCCATGTTGATGACGTAAGCAGAGAGAAAATTTTTGTGTCCGGTGACGAGAACGACTAACCTGTAAATATAAAATTTATTTTATATCAAATACTGAAATATTATCGATTAGACTTGAATTTGGAAAACTTGAATTGTTTGTAAGTGAATATTAATTTTGGTTCAATGGCTGCCCTTTCTTTTTTTCACTATAATAATTTTGAAATATTCATGAATTAGTCACCGGAAATATATAGCCTTAAACTTATTTATGCACTTTACATTAAGCGTCGATAACTTGAGATTTTCTGGGACCTGATATCAAATTTCTTGTTAACGTTGTTGTAAATGCTCTCTACAAACTCAACTAAGAATGACATGGTATACGCATCAATATTTTATCAAGACTTATTCAGATGTAGGTTTTTAGACTAACATTGCTTGACGCAGAGTCACGAAGTATTTTATATGGATGGCGAGAGCTACATATAAATTGTTATGGTACTATGATACTATGCCATTGGCTCGTGCGAGTTTATTATGCATGTGTTACTTTTTATTTCATTCCGGACAAATTCATAATATTTTGGCTGAATAATGGTTTATAAATAGTATGCGTTTGATGAAAATACAAACAGCTCCACAGTGCAGTAGGATTTTTTTAGAGAGAATTGTCGTCGTAATGCGGGTATATCAATGCAGATTAGACACCTCAACAATATCCTTTGCAGGCGGCCTGCATAATTAATATTATTTTAACATCCTGAGGTGAGAATATATTACACGGTGATGATTTCAGCCTATGAGTCATTTCAAAATGAATTGAGCTGGCAATAATTAATATAATACAGACATAATGATTCAACGAAAATATATTCACAAATTTTGACAGCTTGCTAGCAAGTGCTAATTTGCTCCTGTATGCATCAATACAAATTCGTCTTCATATCTTACGGACCTTATTAAATATTCAGAGTTGATGGGAAACCATTGCTTATTGTCAACATCTAGCTTCCTCATAAGTCAATGCAGCTCGTTTACATATATATATAATTGTGACTGCAAGCCCCGCTTTCAAATGACTGTTTGGGCGCCCATATCGGCAAAGCAGCACTGTTACAGGAAAACGGATTTTACAGGTTCTGTGACGATTCCGTTTCAACGTGATATGAAATACCAACTGATTCGAGTTACTACGGTATCATAACAGTAAATACCGCAGTCTACAAATATATGGACAGCAAGCGAAGCAGTAGTTCACAACATCACGCGTACCGGTAACCTAAAAAATCTTCCGAGTTTTTGAGCAAGAATTTCCAGAATTGGCCGTCACGCTTGGCGGATTAAAAATCGTTTTATTAAAAAGTAATACAGCGAAATTTTAATAAAATATTAAATCTCATAGAATTCCCAGGAAGTTGGAAAGAAAATGAAAGTAATAGCCTTCTGGAGAAAATTTCCATCTTCAACCACTGAAAATTTCAATGCAATTGGTCCAGTATTCGAAGAGAAAAGCGATTTTTTAATGATAACGATGACAAAAAACAACAACAACACAATATTGAAACGATCGTTATGTCCACTTACGTGTCCAATAAACGATGACTCAACGAGTCATTCTTTACCACACTGTAAGGTGTCCTATAAATAAGTTTAACTATACATGCAATTTTCATAACGTTATTCCCATACGCTATATAGTTGACTTATTTCATTCATTTTCACTTTTATACACTTTAGTGAAAGTTAATATATATGCAAAGTGAGCGAGTATTTACAAAACAGTTACGGAGTCGACAAAATATATTTTATTTTAATATGGAAGCGTTTTACGCTGCAAAAGAAAATGGTTATTCTGAGCAAAATGTAGGTGAATATCTTTCAAATTACCAAAAAGTAGGCCAAATGGATCCAAAAGCTTTGATCTTTGATATCTTGCATACCAAAAACACACAAAATTAAATTTCGCGGTGTTTCCGGGAAGAAAATTGTAAAATTCCTAAAATTTAAGCTGTTAATTTACGTTCAGTTTTTCGGAAACACACAGGAACATAAAGAACTTAATCTACGTTTGCAAAATTTTAAATATTATTGTCTCGAAGTTATCTGGTAAGGATATTTTTGATACTGAATTTGTAAAAATGTCATTTGGGCATCCTTGACAAAGTATTAGATATAAGTAACGTAATAAAAACTATAATTTTTAGGTCAATTAGTTCTCCCAGTGCATTTATGCTTGTCGTACACATGGATTAATTTACCTAAAATCACTTACTTGATTTGAAAACATTTAAAATAAAGCATGAGTATAGGGTAGTTCATGAGTAAATAAAGAATGCGAGAGTTTCAATTTTCATAGGAACTTCCAAATTAAATTATTGGTCAAGGAATGCTAACCGATATTGTAAATCTAACCAATTTTTCGGTCAATTTGCCTCATGACAGCGCCTAAATTAATACACGGATTTAATAAGGAAATAATCAATTCTTGTCAGCTTTATGTCAAATTCGGAGGATTTGAGGTAATTTGAAATGATAAAGAAATAGGGAGTGTAATGAAACAGGGCTAATGACAAAATCTGACACTAAACACACATTGTTTTATATAAATATCAGTTGGGGTTACGCAAGACTAACTCCGTTTCCTTGCTCTAGGGCTAGGCCTTACACGCAAGGACGCTGTGGCAAGAATAAAGATGACTATACTATTTGATTCAAGAGTCTTGCTGCACACTAACACATGTAATCTAAAAATGGTTATGTGCATGCCTTGATGACGGTGAAATGCCATTAACCATTGCGTGTTTCACTGTTACTCTTCGTTTGTTAATAACGCGTTCATATTGTTTGTGACAAGTTTGAAGTAAAATGACCCTGCGCTCAAATTTAAGGTTCCTATTTATTCCCCATTTTCTTGCGGTTTTGTATTACGTATTTACGAACAAATCGTAGAGTAGGCGTGACATATTTCGTTAAAATTCAATATCCGTACAAATTTAATTTTCATAATTCTATTTGCGTAACCTCGCTTGAGCCAAATGAACTTTAATATATATGAAATTACACAGTTTAACGTTTGAGTGGTTATTATCACTTTTAAAACCGGAATTTTAAAGTTAACTACTTAAATTTCTCTGACATTTTAAAATATTTCAATTTTACTGATATGTTTCAAAAAATCGAAATTTGGGACTCCAAAACCGACATTTGTTATCAGTTATAGAAGAATACGCTAGAACAAAACAGATCACGAAAATCTGTATGGAGGGTAAATAATGATCCTCTGCCTTCTGCCAATATATTATATACATCATTATATACATCACCAATTCAATCACGTTGTTACAGGGTATATCTAACATAACATCAGAATCATATTTCTGGAGTTATTAATATATATATCATTTGTGGCATCGTTAAATAGATAGAAAAACCTAGAATCTAATTTCCGACGATAACGATAATAAGAAATGAGTCAGCAAAACGATGTAATTTTCGAATTTTTATGGAGAAAAACTTCATTGGGGCATGATGATAAGATTATTCCCAGCCTGATATTTCAACTCGTTTCATCTATTTGTATAATATGAATTATCTGAACAAACTGACTTTAATAAAACAGATTATGTTACCTTGTTAATATGCTGAGAATTAAAGATGGAAACGATCCCAATATAAAAACAGGTTCAAAAATATCTATTGTAACATGTCGATGAGCCTCCAGTTCCTCTACTGCTTCATCAGTTAACATGTAATCCAATACAACGGATGGTGGATCACAAGCTGATGTTTCATTGAAATTATATTCTTCAATTTCAAAATTGGTCTGGCGGAAGACTGTAGATCCTACGGAATACAAATTTATCGGTTTATATCGATTTCGTAAAAAAACGCGACTTGATTGTAAGATCCCATCGCAGATGCGAAAAAAAGAACTAATATTAAAGAACTTGATTTTGGATTCGATTGACTCGATATTAGGTAAGTTAGGTCGCATTGACCTACGACACTTCTAGTGATCTTATATAAAATTCATGCAATTATTTACCTTTTACTTGCCGTGGACCTTTTACCGAATTCCGTTGGGAACCTATATTTTGATTTGGATTTGCGTAAAATGAGTCTTGTTGATTTCTATGTGCAGCACTCGGTCTTGTCACTGAATTCCCTCTCCTTATTTTATGAAAATTGTAAAATGTTTTGTGGCGTATTCTATATTTTGGTCGGATGTAATATGTCTTTTTTGAAGATGAATTCTTGTTTGACTGATCGTTTGAGTTTCGTTTGATGCGATTGGTTTTCTGTGATGACGATCGTCTCCATCTGGACGCCAATGGAGCCGGGCGAACACCTTCAGAGGACGTTGGAGTTTCGTCTTTTGTTTTAATATTTTGGCTGTTTTCGTTTCCTTTGGATAACTTTATAGACAAAATGGAATCTGCTTTAGATTCAGTATTTGTGCTATGTTCTGTTCTCACATGTTCCAGTATTTCAGCTGTATGATTATAATGGTCACTACATGTGACGTAAAAGGCTACGTCACTAGCAAATGACGTAAGGGGGAAAATAACACAAACGAACGTAACGAAAGTGCTGAAAATCCACGCCGTGGTGTTCCTTTTTATCCCGTCTTTCTTTTTTTGGCAAATCCAATAGGGTGTTATCCTGAGATCTGAAAGATAAGTATTGTGATTATATCATTGTATTGTAAGCTATGAGAAACATAAAGAGTCAGGTAATACAAATAGTTGAGTATTTGAGTTTGTTATAAGAACTGTAACGATTATGTAAGCTAAGGCAACCCAAAGACGACATGAAAACTGTGAAGGTGATGATAGACCCCGGAAAAATCGCTTTCATTTTCGCCTAATGAAAACTTGAACTTTTATATTTTAAGGTCACACTGAGCAGCCAATGATTTTATAAGTAAAGTCTCCCGCGATTATGTCAATAACATATTAAATCATAATGCATACAGGATGAAAATCTTAGATGTCGGAAAATCGGTTTCGAAGGACAGATCACCGGATGGGGATATTTAAATTCTATTTTTAAATTCAAAAGTGAGCGATGTGGTGACGATGGATATGCACTAAGCTATCGATTTGCTTACATTTACGTTCATAATGTAGTCCCAAAGGCAAATGACCACGATACTGAGTGTTTTTTTTTATCAAAGTTGGCGACTATATGTTTAAGCCTTGACGATAATAGTGGTGTTCAATATCTACAGCGATCAGTATACCCACACTTGTCGGATTACGCTTCCAAGTAGAAGTACTTCAAAGGAAGTGTCATCTTTTTCAAATAGGACAAATAACCGCGCACGGTTGGACATGCATTATGAATGACCAAAATGACATGAAGACACCAGTAAGATTCGACACGCTTTTCACTTCGCGGATATATTTAGACTGAAATGTTCAGATTGCGTTGTACAAAACAAAGTTTGGAAAATGCAAATATTTGAAGCCTAGTTTATGATTTAAATAAAGTAAATTGGGGCGCGAACTTGACGTACCATAGTTTTAAAAATTCACAGCATAACTAACTAATAGGAAAATAAGTACGATTATACCATTCTAAAAATGACCTTCACGGAATACGGAAATAGGGATGGATCATAAGAGCTATTCTAGTATAAAAAGTAAATTGTAGTACTTTCAATTTTTCATGTAAAAATTGTAACTTAGAATGCAAAAATAATTTTTCTTCATCGAGAAATTGTGATATTTTTGGCACTTTTCTTGATATTTCATTATGGCAGTGTATTATAATTCCACCATGGTCACTCCCAGTGATATCTCTAAAGGAGTGAATTAAAAAGTGAAAAATTACCACTCGCTAAATTTTGGAACAACCTCCCTAAAATTAAAAAAAATTTTAAAAAAAATGCGGATCATACCTTTCAATCCATTAACAAAATTGCTCCATGGCTTCCTTTACTAGAGGATGGGTATTTCCATCCAAAGGATTAGTTTCAAAGCTAAATTTTTTTGATTCACGGAAACTTAAAAAGTGATTTGCTTTCGCTATAGTTTTCATTCTGCGTCGTTGTACCCTAGCGCCTTGGTATTCAATTTTAATTTGAACCAAGCCTGCTTTACATACGAGTGTTTCGATGTATTACTGCTATAACGCATATAGAAAACTACGATTAACCTACGTGACAAAAACAGCAATTTTTAAAGCCCCTACATGGTTATAGCATATTTCTGTCGAATTATAACAATGTGTACCTTTCTTTTTGAGTTTTATCTTCTTAACGGCTTCATCTTTTGGATCTATGACAGGAACTCCTTTCTTGACTGATTTTATTTGATAATTCCTAATTCTTGGCGAATTGTTTTTACTGTCCGTTTCAACAATGGTGACATGGTGTTGCGAAGTGCCAGGATTAGAATAATACGACGCGTCGTTTGGACAAGAATTTGCAGAGGAAGGACGGCCGAAGTGATCAGACGGTTTTGGCACGTCAGTTGGACAACGTTTATGTCGTTTTATTCCAAAGTCAAGTCTGCGAGTGGATCCAGGCGTTGTCTTTGCGGTTTCGATGTTAGGTCTGGAAGGAGCTGGACAGCTGAAAGTCTGCTGTAATTTCCGGCCATTTCGTAACCTGTTAGGTATTCCTAATGCTGCTGAATTCGGATGAAGAGTATTCGAAAACCTTTTTTCGTCTCGTTTTTCAGACTCAATCACAATTTTTGTTGCTCTATCACTTGATATCTTTGTGTCACCCATGCCTATATGAGACTGCAAATCTGTACATCAAGCTATGATTTAACAATGCTGTATGTTAAAATAAAAATGAAAACAAGGCCATTATCAAATATATACAGTCGGAACAGGCAAAACTGGACATCACTGCATGACATTCAACAAATTCGATTGCAATAATATGATAGCATCGTTATATATAAACCAGTGAAAAACAGTTACGTAAAACAGTTTTGATTCAAAATAGCAGTGATCCCCAGATAGCTCTATTGCCACACAAACACTGTTGAAATGAAAATGGTTTCCCCGAAACTATTAAATGTTACGTAACTGATGACATTTGCTCGACATCTATCCGAAATACTAAGCTGATCCGGATTCGAATTGAATATAAAAAGCGTCATTAACCGCCAATCGGTTTACAGAGCCTATAATGAGTTTTCTAGATTTTAAGTCATAATATTTTATACGTAAAATCTGCTGACTTTGACGAACGTAACCTTCCATCAAAATTTGCCCAGGATTTTATTGAGATTCAGTATTCTGGTTCAAAAAGTTTTCAATATATGAACATCAGAATACTTCCGATCATACCAACGGTTAGTAGTTTTATACTCTTGAGTGGATGGATGCTTGTGTGTAAACAAACTCCTTACAAAATTTATTCAGTCAAACTTTACTCATAAACAAGCCTTATTGTATGCTAAAGTATTTTGTTCAGAAGCATATTTTACTGAAATATTAGAAAAATATATTAAATTGAAAAAGAAATAGTTTGACACAAATGAAAATAAACTTTTATTTTACATAAATCTTCGAGAAACGTTTATATGGTAACATAAACAAAATGTTTCTTTAAGATCTTGAATGCAAATGAAACTAAATAAAGACGATAAAACCGTAACAAAAATGCGCAAATTGTCAAAATTGAAAAACATACCTTCAAGCATACTCTGGCATCTGGAATACAGTCTAATAGATTTGAGCTGCAGTTTGTTTTTAAAACAAGCATGGAAAACTCATGGTAAAATTGCAAGGCTATGTTATGTTCGTCGAAAATCATGATAAAAAACTGCATGTTTTTTTTTTAACAGACTTTTTGAACCTTTGATCCGTGATACAGACAGACATACAGACAATTCATTGTATGTATGAAGGAATTATTCCTTACCAAAACAAAGTGAGGTAACGTAATATTTAACTCGAAAATAAGAGCGGTAACACTTCCGTCTCGTATCAATATTATTGGACGGAGGTTCATCCGTGTTTTCTAGTTGGGTTAGGCCAAAGTATGGTATAGGCTTTTGCTTGAATGAAGTATCAGTTCTTGCTGTTCCGAAAAATCACCTTTGAACAACTCACACGCCATCATATCTGAGTAACGCTATTTAATTGATTGATTAAGTCTTTTTGCGACAGTTACGGAGGTACACAAATATTTTCGGATTTGAAACGGTGAGGTCGTGTTCAAGCCAGGTTTACGACTGAAACCCAACTAAGTCGTTCTATGTATGCATTCATTAGTATGCGACAAAAATTTAATATTTATTCTCACTGGTCATATTTTTAATACTTTTTTAAATAGAATCTTTTAAAATCATTATGTGGGGGTTTCAATTATCCGATTTGCCGTCCATTGTTCATCTTGATATATCAACAATATTATTTTTTGTTTCAATAAATAGGAAAAGTTTAGAATTTATCTGCCTATCTCGACCATTCCATTGCGAAATACTCCATCTCGTCTCAACAGCACCTTGTAAGTCTCATGAACAGGTATAGATTAGCCTGGATTTACCCTGTTTAGCAGAAGGAGGAAAGCATATACAAAAAATGAATATCTAATTCTAATTAAACGTATCGTCCTAAGCACAGAAATTTGTAATTATTGTTCCTAATCCTACTCTAAACCATATACCCAGACGTATCGGCAATTCTTGTTTTGTTATTGCCAAAAACACTATCTTATTTTTCACATCGCCGGACAATCTTCACAGGCTTGAATAAATATCATCTATCTATAATCTATATAATATAACATTTTGTTTTGGATCGTATTTAAAGTTTCGTCGCATGAATATATGCAATGAAGTGCAATTTTGGATCTTTAATTCTCCATAAATATTTATTTTTGATTATACATTTCATAAAGAGTAAAAACGTTCATGTATCAGAAGTTTATAATATAATTTCAATAATTATAAATAATAATTATAACATATTACAAAAAATACAGTAAATGGCTATCAATACTATCAAGTTGAAACATTTCATGCATGGTCTCTCTCAACCTTATCTGGTTCTTTATGCATTGCGAAGGTTTGCAATACAATTTCGCATATTTTTTTACAAAATTGTGTAATAGAAACGTAAATCTATATAATATATTGAATGAAAGCGATTTTTCAGTTCGAATAGTTTTAGGGAAAAATGACGCAGGTACTGATGATGATTTTTCGAACTCTTAGTTAATGTCACATACTTTCGATATTTACAAATAGTGGTTCATTATATGAACAAATTGAGCCACCTAGATCTCTTGACTTCCCCAAAAAGTGTCTTCACATTGCCTAAATTGGTTCCGTATTTGTGTTCTAATTGATTTTGTCACCTAAAGATCATTTCGAAGTTAGCTTTCAACATGGTAATAATAGCAATATGAGAATGTATAAACCAACTTGTCATTAACCTCACAAATCAAGTGACTTGTACAAATTTTATGAACATCAACCTGATTCTATCTACGTTCAAAGATCTGACATATTTTTCAAAACAGTTTTTGGGGAGAAATTTCTTACGTAATTCCAAAGTTTACGACGCAAACAGTTGTTTCGTATCCCCGGGCTATCTACACAAAATTGCATTTTGGTGACGCCTAACACGCTACACGCTGTAACTTATTTATTCAAATACAATCAATAAGAAACTCTATAATATTATTTCCTTCTTTGTTCTAATTCATATTACAAATCTAAGAAAACGCTACTGCCAAGAAGTAACATACCTATAGATACAATAATTCTACCATGAATATTGTTCTGGACCTCTAACAATTCGTCATAATTTTCTAACAAAGTAAATCAGGGCAGCCGTAAATTTGATCTACACCTGTTTCGTTATAATAGTTGACAAAACTACAACACGTTTTATGACATGCTATACATTGGCAGAAGTTTCATTATTATTTATCCGCGTTTAAATCTTATAAGGAAAGTCACGTGCAGGACATTCAAAAATTTTGAATTACGCATTTTTACCTGATTAAAATTATTCAGCTATATTGTAGAATTATCATTTACTTCTGCACTGGCAGTAGCGCGACTAATCCAGTATGATAATTAGGCAATGTTCTCCCTCAGACGCAATTAGGATATTCCGCTATATTTGTGATGCATTCCGAGTATTAAAGCGGAAAGAATAGGTTTGTATCTTTAATAAATCTTCGATGGCTGAAAGCAATATGTTTTTAAATTTGTACGAATTCATCGGGGCATCAAATGATATTTTTCTGCAACAAGCACAGTCGATCGATACAACCCATTAATGAATATCGGGTTTTATTTAAAATTGGAATTAGATTACATGAATGTATTGATTATTTCCATAAAACACGGAAATAATTAGGTGTTTATTGACGTCTTGCTCTTAATTGAAAAAGAATGATGTAAATTTTTTATTTGTGCATCTGTTCCTCGAATCTTACATTCTGAAACTATAAATATTTTACGTTATATACGGAAAAAATAGTTTATTCTATATATTTTCATCAAAATGATTTCGCATCAATTTAAAATACCGAGCCTTTTTCCGGAGACACTTATAAAACGAAATGGGACTTTCACCTCTTTATAATCTATCAAATTTTGACAAATCAATACAAAAAGTCAGTATGACTCAAACAGACCAGCTAACTTCTTACTAAATTGACAAGACTTTGCTACGTGGAATATACAGTAACACAACGGTAACACAACAGTATGCCTTCCCACTCTTGGGACCTTCTCATTTTACCTCAGATCAACTATCTTTCTGATTCCATCTATCCGCACTAAAGTTCTAACGTGAAGCCCGAAATTCATGCTTTCGTCAATAAATAACGAGCGAAAGAAACGTGTCAAAAATCTATTTCGGTATGTGCTAGTCAGCGATTTTTGTTGACAGCAAACGGCGATAGGGAAGGGTAGCTTATTCGCAAGCGGCAGTTTATTATAGCAAAACACTTTTTAATTTAAGCTACTGAGATGTGATAAACGGCTTTCTGCTATTATAGAACGGTGACCGTACATTTGAACCCATGTACATTTGAACCCATGCGTATATCCACGGGTTCAATCTATATGCGGGTGCTAAAACCCATGGGTTAGGGTTAGTATGGGTTTAACTATCCGTGAAACAAAAAAAATTTCATAGGTGCAATAGCATACAGGTGCAATTGTCATGGGTTCAAATGTACGTGGGTTCAAATGTAATGGAACCTTATAGAACATCATTGTATACAATAACACGAAGTCACCTGAGATAAAACTAATCAATTCAAACAATTAAACAATATTACTACTATATTAGCGTATTCTGGTACTAATGCTTTTTCGAAGGAAAAGCCTGTTGCTCAAAGTACGAGACCCATACGAACTTTGTGTAATTCGTTCAGCGTAGTTGTAAGTAAACCAGTTCAAGTATTCGTCAGTGAAATATACTTGATATGTTTTGACGGAAATGTGATTTATATCGGTATTGAATCATATCAAAGTTTATCAATATATTTCTACCTATAATTAAGTCTTCGACCGTTCTTGATCGTCGAGCACAATACTCATTTTTTTGCCTATCAATCGTTATAAAGTGGGCGGCACGTGGGTACGTCCTCTTATTTAAATCCCTCTGCGGATTTCCCAACAATAGACACACACAAAATCTGCTTTCGAGAGTTAAAAAGTTTTCGAAATATGCAGAACGCACCACATGGAAGCCATCTGATTATTATCTATTGGAATGATGATCTTGCTGGGTATAAAAAATAAAAATCAATATTGAATTATGCATGTTGACTGATTGAAATGTGTATACGTGATCAACATCTTGTATAGTATAGCGCCTATGTTGACAGTTGACGCTAACATGAGCTATAAGATTGTATCACCCAGAAATTTAATTTAGAACTTTCATACAGTGCTCGCCGTTATGATATACACACAATTCATTCAAGAAAGAATTATTTTATACAAAATATTTCGAAAATCCATCAAAGTGTTAGTTGTTGTAGTAAATGGTGAATCTTGCTGGTTTTGGAAATCGCATAAAAACTAACGACCTCTCGCAATATTTCAAGCATGGTGCATGGTGTCGAACAATTTGATAAGTAATAAAATGCTTCAATGCTAAACGATGTCTTAGTCTGCCACCTTCTCACATGCAAGCATCTGAATGCAAATATACCAATCCAAAGCACTAATACGATTTACATTAGCATGAATCTCAAATTCTTTCACGTTTCATTGCTGCGTGACTGTAAGTAAAATACATAAGTTTTGACTCTTGGCATTACTACGCTGTCCTTTTGTATAAAGAAAAATATTTTGGTATAAAAGAATTTCAATTAACTCGTCCGGTCTTTCAAATTCAAATATTATTCAACAGTATAGTATCTGACAACTTGAAATATAATAGAATAGACAACTCTCGACTCCGGCATATACAAAAGTAAAAACCCCCTTTTTCTTGAATATTCAAGCACCCAATCGGCAGCAATTTATAAAATATTAATTTATATTATAATAGCAACTATCATAAAAGCATGCAATCCTGTTCATTGAAACATTTTATCAAATGCGTAAACTCCCGCTTACGTTGATCGCACTGGAGGTCCCAAAAATAACGACAGGATCCCGGGCTGTAATAAATTATGTAAGAGCCTCTCGTGTTTCGTTGCTCGAAGCTGAAATGAAGGCAAAACCTTCCTCTTTCACCAAATAAAGACGGCGTGTTAATTCGACACATGTTTATGCGTTTGAGAACGTCTATTGGATTATCCCCTTTATTCTTTCAAAATGAAATTTAAATCTTTTGAAAGGAGAGGACGCTGTCGACTGAGGTCAAAATATCTTTAGCACTCAATCTTGGCTTCCTCTTCCCGTGTTGAATTTGAGAAATGGGAATAAATTGTACTGAAATTTTATCGTTACTGCAATAGCATTTATTTCTGAAATTTTGGCTAAAACAGTTGGTACGCTAATTCATGGTTAGTTGCACAGGGACACAATCCTGAAAAACCGTATGTCACCCCACCCGCCTGTTGTATGCATTTTTAAAAGAGTCGATAGTAAATCGGTAAGAATCGATGAAACTGGGCGTAGTGCGTAATGGGCGGAATGCACGTCTTTTGAAATATAGGTAAAATCACACTAAAACTAGATTTTACATACGATGATATCATAAATAGTAACCCAGTAATAGTGTTTAAAACTATGTGAACGTCCGTGGCCAAAGCACACAATAGATAACAATAATAGACACATGGACGGACAAGCAACTCAAGCGACTGTAAACAAAACAAAAATCAGAAATTTTTTCATCTTTTATATATATTACATTACGACATTATATTTTGTACAGGAATCAACAACATCAACATATAATTTAAGCGCGTTTGGTGATCCCATAAATCTAATTTCTGAGCCGGTGATCCTTCTAAAACCTGTCGCATTCCACTAAAAATATTCCTAATCTTTTTTTCTCATTGCCAAGCATAATAAGCTACTCACAATGCACATTTGAGACCCTATCTCACTCATGTGCCATACTCGGTGAGGCAACACTTTATAATCAAACACATTTTGGTTTCGCGAAATAGATTACTTCTCCCGGAGGTACTAAAATGGTTTTCGCGCTGAGCGACATTATGGCGTTGATCTTTTCCCCAATGGAGGAATCTGTCTTAGTATCACTCTTGGATGAGCAGAATTAATTGTCTATTCTTTATCAAATATTCTGAAGTGCAATTGACGTTTATGTTGTATAGAAATATGCAAAATTTTGTATTCCAGAAGTCTGCCCTTTCCCTACAGAGTTTGTTATGATTGAATGTGGATTTAACTTGAAGCAATTGATGCTGAATGTAGCTAAATCAATGATTGTTTGAGTCTAATTATTTCGTGCGATTAAATGAAAAATCACGATTTACTGTTATGGCAATCTTGACTTATCACAGACAGAATTTTGGACAAATTACATGATAAAATTTGGGGTTAACGGTTGTTTCACGTGGTAAGAAAGTGGGGTTTATTACTTTTACGGTCGAAAATAATAGCTTCGAGTCAGAGAGCGAAGTGTTTCAAGTAATTTTGATTTATTCTATTCTACGGGACAACATTGAACAAACTACAATTGCTCGATAAAGCAATAGTTTTCAATACTCAATATAATTCATTTTATTCAAAGTCAGGTCAAATAAAAGTAGAATGACTCGACAGTCTGGCTCACTGGGATACTAGTTTGCATAGAGTCAGATTCAGTCATATTCACCTTGCTATATGCCAGGTCATAGTAAAGTAGTGGTAAAAAAGGCCGTTGTCGTAGGCCACCATGCAATTGCGTTGTCCCTCTTTTAGTTTTCCACATTCGCGAAGAGTGATCGACAAAAGTGGTTTACCCGGAGGGTTGCGCCGCCGAAAATTAGGCATATAGGTCCATTGTAATCACGCTTCTGTGTCCTTTGTTTGCGTCTTTTTTTCAAAGAATTCGGCCTAATTAATTTAATTCTCGTTTTGTAACTTTCTCCATGCGGTCAATATCTTTTCATTAGTAGGTTCGTCCTTCGGCCATCCTAAATGTTCACAAACGCTCTTTCCCAAATCATTTTCCATTTTTCGAATCTAAAATCAATAATAAATTCTCATCATATAGGTAAGATGAAATACAAAAAATATATTGGCAAAATCACATGAAGCAGGTCACCGAAATATGTTGAGAAATAACAATCTCCAAATGAATTGTAATGCTGAGAAGATTTTTGCAAACCTTTGCATATTAGGCACTTTTGGAGTGCGAAAAACCACCATCAAATCGATCCATCGTTTTCATTACTTTAATTCACATTTCAATATTAATTCAGGTCATTTTAATATACCTTTACATTTCCAATTTTCTCGCGGAGAATTCCTGTCGTCCATACATCTTCCAAATGAAGTAAATGAGTATTGAGAGACATATAATAAAGTTCAAACGCAATGACAGCAGGCATTATAAAACACCAACCAACACAGGATAGCGGATACCTATAATAGATTAGATTTAAACCTTTTTATCGCATTCAGCTTGGCAAATTAGATTTAATCATTTTAGATTCCTGGATTGCCGGGTCGGTGAGCACGATGATATACGATATTATGCTAATGCACGAACCAAAGTTTCTAATTGGATCTTTATGAAAAGGAAGAAATACGGCGACGACTAGGCAATGCCTTTGCCCGCACTATTTCAGACGTCAACGTGCTGGCGAATCTCAATACCTAATTTTCTTATGCGACACTTTTTGATTATATTACTAATCTGTACGTATAAACTGTAAATGAATATATTGAGTGTGAATTGACAAAACCTACTGATCTCCAGAATATTCTTCTAATGACGTCACCCATTTTCCTTCTCTGCGAACCTTTGGCTGGAATACTTTTGCACAACCCATTTCCCTAAATGCACAAATAAAGTATAAGATACCTAGAAAATAATTTGGCAAACACAAGCAGAGGGCAGAGAGAGCAGTGGACACCTCAACAAAAATGTCAAAAAGTAAAAAAACTGGTGTCTCCAGAGCGAAACAGCGAAACGACACCTCTGCCGCGCTAACGTATTCGTTTTCGGCATTTTCGAATCGAGTTTATATAAATGAATCAAAGATAGATTTGAAAAGGGTATTTTCATTCGAAAAGAACGTCTGTCTCTAAGTAACTGTAATAAGCTGCGTTGCGGTAATTAAAACGCGATATATGTGACTTTAAATTACGTATAGAATACTTCAAAACGTTAGCTATATATTTGTACTGTCATTTTGATCAATTGATAACTTAATCTTGAATAAAATTACAAACCTTGAGTTAGGCAAAATATCCAGATGCTGCTTCACGATGCTATCAATATGCGGCATAACGTCATCATCAACATGCATATAAAATGTTGCGTTAGGGCAGTAAAGCTTCAACCATTTTAATTGCCCTGCAAAAGAAAATGTTTGTTGGTCAAGTATTATAATAGTGATTGAATATTATATATAATGGCAGTTAAATCGAAATTTCTGATATCCAGATGCATTTATGTTATTGAAGACGAAAAAGCTAGCAATTATACAGTAAAAGAAAACACAGATCATGTATCATCGGATTTGGTCAACCAGCCTTGTTGTTATATACTGGACAAACTGTATTAAACCGCATATAGCAGTCATTCCAAATCTTAGATGATTCGTCAGTTTTTAAGTAGTCCTCTGCGACGCTCGGGACCATTACGAAGCTCCTTATGGAAAATAGAATTGTGTGTTTTAGAAAACGAAATGGAGAAAACCTAAATGCCTTATTAGTGACTTGTTAGTTGTTATTGTCAATTTTTATGATACAAACAAATATTTTTTGTATTATAATTTTATTTTCATTCTTCTCATTTATACTATCAACCCTTTTTTCTTTTGTTTCAATGTAATTCATTTCAATGAGATAATATTTATTAAACTGCTAATTTACCCTGTGTTTTCAAAGTAAGATTTCTGTATGTTTCTTGATAGTCTTCCTGTACTATATCCCCAAATTTTACATATTCAAGTTTTAGTTTTGAATTGCTTTCATTGTCGTTACCTAAAATTAAGATATTGCATTTTGAACCATAATGACACACACTATGATTTAGTACCTTGGTATAATACCAAAATTACCAGGCATTCGGTTTCTGTGTAACGATTACGTGCAAAACGAATAACATGAATCACACAATATTCTGTTGAACGCTGTGCAAAATAAACTTTTAATAATATCGTCAGTATAAAAAATGACGTTAAGTCTTACCTACGAAAAATAAGTATTTGATCGATTTTTGACTAACATTGGTCATTGACGCCCACGTGCGGCGAATGAGATCTCGCCTCTCAAACTCCCACGATGCGCTTGCAATCATCACGAGAAAGAAAACTTGTTTCGATTGATCATTGTGAATATTTTCACCACAGAATCTGGTTGGATTGAGTAAATACCTATAGAAAGTAAAACCATGAATTCTCGTGTTTGCATTATACAGTATATTTACTTTTGTTTCTGTCTCAAATACCCGAACTCATGAGGTGAAATATTCAATTTCTTCTCAAAAAACTTTTCTGGAATAACAGAATTATTTTGTCGAACAACTTCGAGGATATTTTTCTTCGGCAAAAGTGAAACAATTTGTTTTTTGCCATTTTCATGCCCTTCGTCGATTTCTGAATTTTCTTCCTTATCATTGACAAAAATGCTCGACGATTCTCTGAAACAAAATTTGAACTTTGCGATCTACAGTCGAATGAGTACGCCTGAAGTATGCGCACCAAGATGTCGCATAACCTGAACTCTAACCTGGTATACAACCTGAGTTCAGGTTGTGCGCCATCTTGGTGCGCATACTTCAGGAGGTCCGTCGAATGAATATGTTTCGAGTACTTGAACAAAAGATAATCGGCAATTTTTTCTTGTTGACTATAAACTGACCCAATAGGTGAAACTAAGTATTGAAATGGCATTTGAATTGAAAACCGTACCTTTTATTGAGTAGTTTGCCAGTGCTAACAACGACAAGGATTTGGAAAATGTTACATCTGCGAAAAAGCCGAACGGAAACCCTATACAAAAATTTCTAATACGGCTAATTTTAACTTTTCGCAAACAAATGCTAACATTTCAGGCAAAGTCCAAACTATTACACTATGTATAAATATAATAAAAATCACCTACATTATTACTGGCCCTTTATCACCCATGAACATTTGAATAAATATAAATATGCTGAATACCGTAAGCACCAATACCAGTAGCCTGACTTTTTTCAACGCCATTTTGTTTGAAATCCATGAATATCACAGTTTTTTTAATGCAAACGTCCCAAAGTCAACATTTCATTTGTCTAATTTACTACACTACTTCCTTTTCTATGCACCAGCAACGGTTCACATCTTGTACTAAAGTACAATTGTGTGAAATATGAACAGCAGCTTATAAGATATATTATTATCTCGAATAAGAAGTCGTCAGAGTCACAAAAGCCTGAGGGCATTCAACCGCGCAACTGATCGCGCTGTGGTATTCTCCCGCCAGCAATCAAAATACGACAGTAATAGCATAGGTCATAACACACTTCATAACAATAAAACTACGTCGAATTAAACCACTTGAAGCTATTTTATGAACTGATGAGATGTAATATAAACATTGCCAGTCGTTGCAAGGAGGATATCGATCTTTTTATGTGTACGAAGATATTGCTCGTTTAGTTAGCTTCAATATTCCAGATATTTTACCTATATTAGTATTTAGAATAACTGCATATCTCTGAAATATCAATATATAGCAATGAGAGAATAGAATCCTGACAAAATATTGTGGTCATCGCAACTACATGAATACCGTTTGTGTGTGGGATTTACCATTTAGGCAAGGTAGGGTGAATCTTAGGGGCCTCAAGCCTTAGGGCTGGGCTACTCAACTATTTTTACTAAAGGTCCGTATACAAAACTTAAAAATGCCCGTGGTCCGGTCTTTGTAGAAAATATATTATATTGTGAGTTTAAAAGTTAACAGAAACGAGCTGTTGAAAACCGAATGACCGCAAAATAATTGACATTCTCAATGCGCATTTTAGATCCCCGCTCAGTGATTATTTGCAAAATAAAACAGCGCTATTTGTATTGTCCATTGTGACGTCACAGGTATATTCGTATATGATAAGTACAAGTACGAGAAAATGATAAGAATAATTCTCTAAAACTATGAATAAGAGAAACCTTAACATATCCAAAGCTAAATGGGATCAATACTCCAAAATAAAGAATCAGATGCGATCGGAATCGAATACTCGAAAGATCCGTATTGGAACCGCGGTCCTGCCTTTGGGGCCTCGTTGTTCAACTAATTTTCATTTTTGAACTAACTTTCATTTTCAAGTCGTTTTTAAATTGCGAAGTATTGATCCAGAATAAAATCGGTTTAGAATTTTCATAACCGATATTTGGTAATAATTCGTGTCTCAGATATTTATCTTTTCGAGGGATAAAAAATTAAATACAATGAAATAAATAAATTTGTCTACAAATTTGTCAATACAAAAAAACTGTGGTGCCATGACGGTTTATTACAGCCTTTAGTTTCTTATGTACTATCCCATCTACTACTAAAATAACGAATTTCAAGCAATTCAAAAAAAGAACCCTGACGTCATCTATCATTCAATGGAAATGTGAAAGGTATATTATGACGTCATGATACCTTCATTGTTAGCGGCGCAGCCTCACGGATGGCGTAGGTTAGTTAGGGGAAATCATAATCTAAATTCGGCCATGACCGTGTGGAGTATGTTTTGTTATCCGTAAGTCATATTTCAGTCTGAGAAATGTATAGAAAATGATATCATTGCAGTTGTTCATTAGTCTGCTTTGTTGAAAGTACTGATTGCGAGTATACGTTTAAGATGAACTTCGGTACTGCATATATATTTTTTCTGAACACAAGAGGCGCTAAAGGTCTTATTGGAAACTACAAGCTTGCACGACCGCTGTGACAAACGTAATGTCCGAAACATGGCTCGTTTTTTAACGTATGCAAGTAAACTACAGGAGGAAAATATGGCTATAGCTGTGTAAGTTACTCAAATGCGATAATATTTGATAAGACAAAAATTATATTTGTTCAAAAGTATGTTGTTTTCAGATGTACGGTACCACGGTATAATTCAATATGCCAGCTTATAAAATCAACAAGCATAAATTTTGTAATAGTCATGCCTACAACTCAACAATTTTGTAGAATGTATCGAACTCCTTGTCAAACACCCACCATTCGGTCATTTGGGTGCAAAATTCAAGTTGACCAAACTTGCAAACGGTGGAAATTTTGTCAGAAATTTAACAGATTCGTCTTTTCTCTTTACAATATTCATCAGAATAGTTTCGTATTATATCCTGGTCTGGTATACATAGATCTTCGTGTCCACAGCTTGTTTTGCACCTAATGATAGTTTCAACTTACACTCTCCTCGTGAGTCAGACAATCAGTACGTGTGCTTGTATCATTCAGTGGAACAATTTTACGTTTCAAGTCGACGTTGTAGATTTTTGATCGATACAAAGTTTTCAACCAGCTTCAAGTTGATTTTATATTGAATTTTATTGTCAACAAATCTTTCACCGCCTTCATATATTATTCATAGCCTGTCCAATTCACTTCACTCCCCAGCATTTCGAATCATAAAATATCTGTTCAGCTTTTATTTCAACCGATTCGCACAAAATGGTTTTGCTATATATTGGAATGGAGAATTTTCCTTAAATAATGCGTTCTAATATTTTCTCCGTCATGTCGACATACGGTCGCATGGATGTATGTGGCACGGCTCTTTACCGGTAACAAACATTTGGTCAGCAACAGTAAGTAACGGATTTGAGTTCGAAATTCAATTTCGTTTGACATGTTTACGCATGCATGGCTAGTACGGTTCCGGCTTGCTTCTTTGATGTCGTTTCAATTTGTGGTCGAATGGATCAGAAAATCGATCCTAATAAATACCGTATCGCTAAATAGGAATACTAATTTACTCAATATGACAATGACATGTGTCACAATTGCAAAAAATGAGCTATTCTAAACGCCTGTGTTTTTTTGTTATGGAATTTTGAGATGTGGTTTTGTTCAAATCCACGAAACCACGCCTCTGAGACGCCTCTTTTGGAAAGCAAATGCTTCTTATGGCTTCATTCAAAATAGCCGACTCTGAACTGCGTGCTGGTATTTGTTAGAATATGCATTTGAATCAAGGAATACGCTCTAGCACTGTCAAGAAGCTTAAATTAGCATTACTGGCTGCCAAACGTCACGACGCTTTACTATTGTTAGACGTATTGCGTGATAAGTCAGCCGTGTGGTGACGTACAGGAAAAAGAGTGGTGGTACGCTGTACAGCTCAAAAACGTCTACGACATACGTTAGGCGCATTCACGCTTTGGGCAGCGTGCCTTGCTACGACGCAGAATGGATTTGCACTTAAACGTAGCGCGGCGATGATCAATATCGTTGGGAAAGGCAGTGCGAGAGAAAAATCAATACGCGATATTTTGTTAGGACAAAGAAACTTATCCTTAATTGAAACGGGAAAGTATTGTAGAGTTGATTGCCTTTCATTGCGCGAGCCACAATCGGCGTATGGTAAGTGGATAACGATTACTGGTGTTAATAGTACCATCGTGTAGGTCCACATATTTATCAAAATAATATGTTCAGCACTTGCTGCTTCATTCCACATGGGTGGTTTCCCGTGAAATGTTCAGCTCTGAATATAACCATGAGGCTATAGGTATACAGTTTACTCCTTGGCAGTACTTGTAAACAATGTGTATAGTAAGCAAAATTAGGAAGTTCCGGTAATCTACTGTACTATAAGGGGAACGTAGACGCAATACAATTGATATGCGTGGTTGTGAATAGCCTTATGTATCAGTAACTTTGAAATGCAAGAAGTTTATGAGGTATGAGGTCGGCGTAAGGGAATGGATTCTTGCCGCATTCAGGTCAAAATTATTTTGTAGTTTATTTGAATTTTGATGAACGTTTATTTATAAGGCGTTGGGCGGATGCAGTAGTTTGTAGAAAGATAATTCATCATCTAAATATAAGGGAATACTATTTATGTACCTTCAATTCGTAGAGTTTACAGATAAATAGCTTGGAAATAAACTATGTCGATGACGCAAAATAGCTATAAACGCCAAAGTAATCTATATTAATCTATACATACTATGAATGATTCATGTGATTTTGTGGCCAGGAAAGGTATAGTTTACACGACTTCTTCTCACGTTCGATATTCACAAGTATGTCCCAGATATGGACCGATGAATATGTCAAGCCGCAGCAAACGGGACATATGACATTTGTTCTAATTTGAATCGATCCGAACTGGTAAAAGTTATTACCATTTCTTTTTTTCTAGAAGATATTGTATCATTTTAATATTTCGACATGGTATAGGGCAAAACAATTTTGTTGAAAGCCGAGATTTAATAAGACGGATAATTTACCTGAGTATCTTCTAACAAGATGACAGACGAACAATTTGTAACACTTACTCCTGCAGAGTTTGAGACGTTGCAAAAGTATGCGGAATGTAAGTATATTGCTTACCTCTTCAATCATAAGTTAACCAAGTTTTGATTTGTGCATCAAATGCACAGTTTAAACGAAAAATCGGATCTTAGTCACGTAATTTTTATTTTTGTGAGATTGTTCTTCGCATCGTGTTTCGTAGAGAGCGATCTTTTATGGTAGGTAAGGACGAGCACGTGTGAAGTATATACATCCATAACTTAGTATATATTAATCAGTATATGAACGGAAATATATAAATTTTCAATACGATATTTATGGGCTTCCACAAGCAAATAGTCAAATAATAAAAATAGCTTAAGCAACATAAGCCCATGTATTGACTTTTGGGATTCCAGAAAGCCTATCTTTGATGTTACACTAAATACCATTTGCTCATTCTAAATCTATCAAAACAACATATATATCATGTAAGATTAGATTGGCGCCGAGGATTAAAATTCAGTCGTGAGTAAAATACCGTGGGCTAAAATTTATTATTCGCACAGATCACAGCCTTCGAGCTTCTATCAGATAGTTTTTAAACAAATGTTAATTTATAACAAATTTACTAGAAGGCAATAATTCATAATGCACAAAATTATATAATACTTCCTATTACGACCTTACCTTACGGCCTACCTTAAAAAGCTCTGAACTCAAACTTCAACGCCATCATAGGTTGCCAATACCAGTGATAATATGTTTGTATTTTTAAAATAATTTTCATATCGAAAATTTGAGTTTTTAAGTTTGAAACAGAGTCTAGACTTCCATATAAATATTATGGAATAAAGTAAATTTCCAGAATTGCTTCGGGCTAATTTCAAAGTTTACTTATTATTCACGTCAATTTATAGTGGGGGCTCTTCGCCCTAACAAATATCTTCGTTCACTCAAAACAAAATATTCTAATTGCGCGTTCACAGAGGTTATACATCAATTTCGTCTTGAGTACATTTATTGAATTTTAAAATATTTTTTTGTTTGAATCTTTATTTTTTGTCTTCAAATACTTTCATTCGCCAAACACGGTAAATGGTGGCGGTTCCGAATGTAACATTCAAAATTGGGTTTTTGATTATTTTAATCCTCTGGTTGGTTGGTTTTTTTGGAACGCTCCCAAGTGCGGATGACGATAGCAGACGAGCATACTTCAAAAGCTTTTGACCTTTCTTGACGTCAAAAGTAAGGGATAAATAATCGCAAAAAAGTCGCGCTACTTCAGCCGTGAAATAATTCTTGAAATTCGTAAATCTATCCGTGTGGTTTTGGGGAATAATGAATATCTAACAGAGCGTTGTATCGACGTATGTGCTGTTTTTTCACTACTTTTTATTTGATCATTTTTATCACATTGCATACGCGGTATTTGATACATTTAAATGAAGCGGATTGTCGATAGGATATAGGATTGTCGATCTTATACTGGCAATATGTGAAATTTTAGCACACCAAACCTCATCAAATATCGATCGGTATATCCAGCATATTCGCATATACTAAATGTGCATTTTATTCCAATTGTTTTAAATTCATATCTTTATATCCCATCCTACCAGGTAGAATAGTTATTCGCACAAAATTCACAATTCATAACGCTAATATTTTATTTCAATTTCATTATTTACTGAATTCACATCTCATAAATTATCTTACTATTGTAAAATATCTTTAAGCAATTATATCCGTGCAATCACATTTCATTTTAGAGTTGTAATTTGTAATATACTCGTATAAGGATGTCACCTGCTATAATCAGATTTGGAGTATCAGATATATAAACCTTTCCATGTACAGCAAGACTTTTGAACTCGATTTTATAGAGATATTTTAGTAATCCCATCATTTCAAGACGCTTTCTCAAAGCAAGTTTTGTCATCCTACATAACAAGACGATAGCCAACGCAAAAGTTGTTGTAACTACTAGATTTCAAGTGGCAAGTAACCGATTCATAACGATTGAAATGAATTACCTCAATTCAAATTTCGTCAACTTTCACTCTGTAAAATATCGATTTTTCCCGCTCTGGTATTTCAAGAAACTGTTTTGAACACTGTGAACCAGAATTTATCAAAATTCGAATTTAGATTCTACATATATGTGAAACATATGTCCGAATGTTAACAGGTATTGGTTGGTACCAATACTTATAGATTATTTTGCTTCCAGGTGTTATGAATGGCAAACCTATCAAAGCATGACATGATTTACGGGTCACCGTTTGTGCGTAGATTTAGCTTTTGCCGCCATACATCTGTATCTCCAATAGGCTATCTATTTTTATTTGGAATTTACTTACAAAGGCGGCTGAGAATATTTGTGATTTTATCGAGGCTTGATAGCAATTGCACTGGATATTTTTACCTTGTGTTAGTAATTTTTCATTGGTAATATAATTTTGTTGAATATTTTTACTTGGAATGTGTTGTAAATTGTAATATATAACATTTGTATATGTAATTCTATTAATACTTCGTAAAAGTGTTCTTTGGTTTCATTGATTTCAAATCAGCAATTGCATTTAAACAATTGCTGTAATATTTTCTGACACTATTGGTTTTCTATGAGACAAAAGCGATGGCAAGTATTCAAACCGTACTTTGGTGATTATGTATTACTACTTTTTTGTTACTTCGGTTTAGTTACTCTTGTATGTATGGTTAAACTTATAAAGAACGATGTTATAGTTTTTTTTTTTTCTGTATATCATTCTTTAGATTCGTCGAAAAAACTCACCGATGTACTAGAGGAATTTCATAACGGAGGCGTTTTATCGAAGTATAAGAAAGACGAGGTTAGTAAATGTTACCTTTTTTATGTTTTTTTTGCAAACACTCAAGCCCTTTTGATAGCAAAAGACAATTTTTTAATTTCCTTGTTAGTTTTCTATTCGTGTGCTTTTATTGTAACAGAAAGGGAATTTTTTATTTTATTCATATCAATCAAGATGATCGATCCACTTCGGAATACGCGTTGGGAGTTATTTTCTGAGAAAACTCATTTTTACGAGCCATCGATTTTTCCCCGAATCCTATTGGATATTTTTAATCTAACTGTTTACCGACGGTTATAAATCTAACTTATCTTAAAACAAAAAATGATGCTATTTGGTTATAAGTACCATGCTATTAGCAGCTGTTCCCTAAACATTGTCGATATGAAGAGGATTTTACACCGGTTATTGTTCAGTTCAATTCTTATTTGTTCGCTGCGCATGTTACCCAGCATAATGCTGTCCGTTGATTATGTAATATTTTTAAATTGTTTCAAACATGTCATAACATATTGTCACTAGATAATGAAGTATTACTGGCATTTCTTTGGCCGAGAATTACCATGGAACTTAATATAAAAATACAATGAATATTAAACGCTTAATTATGGATCAAATCATATTATCTATATGAGTATTATTTTTATGACGAAGCCATATGGAATCTTCGTGTGATGACTAAATGTGCTTTGAATAGGCCTTCAAAATTATTGAATTGGGTCAGAGCGCATTCTCATTAATTATAGTCGTTCAAGCATGGAGATGCCACAAATTAGCTTTTCTCGGGTATGTGATATTTATGGGGTTATATCAGAGCATCAAGTTTGTTATTTTACTACCTACCAAACATGATCGATACGTGGTCTTTACCATTCAATCCTATTTATCTCCCAATACAAATTTTATAAATCGAGGATAGATTATGAATAGAACACACTTGGCACTAATATACCCTTATCTGGAGTAATAATGTGTTAATAGTAACAATAAAAAGCATGACAGCACTGAAAACAGCAGGAGCCTCCGTTGGTGTGCCCTATAACAAAAACGCTTACAATACAGGCTACAATTCCAGCGATAGAACGCTTCTTACAAAGGTTTACTTTGATCCTATCTGTACGCGTAAATGACGGTTCATTGGCGTATAGTAATATTTAAAATATTCATCACGACCTCTGATGTGAGTTTCTGCGATACAGTAATCATATAGTCGATTTGGTGTAGTATGGAACTTCCAAAAGGTAATCGGTATTTATTTATCCAACAAATACGAATATGTTGTTTTTGAAGAAAATTCCAAGCACCTGAATAAACGAAGTATTAAACAACCACAAGCAATGGCTTAATGGGGTAGGCCTAATAATCATCGTATTTTCAATATTTAAATAAACTATTATGGGATATCAAAATGTCGATTTCTGGAGGGTCTGTACGACAAGTTTTCCAACACTTTCTGCAACAAGTTAACACACCAACAATGGATTCAATTCGCAAATTATTTGATAATTTATATACAGTTTTTATTTCACTGGCCACTTGTCATTGATTTGGTGTATATTCGATAAATTTAATCATTACACTAAAGATCGTTAATTAGATTCCAAAATTGTCTATTACGTAACCAAATTACTAAGCATGATTTCATTTTCGTCCAATGGATGACGTCAATAATTATCAGGGATAAATCATAAGTTTGGTGACGTGCGGGAAAATAAGACCAAGTGTTTACGCGAACCTTTATATCACTGCAGTGCAGCGTTGGTGTTGCAAACTCAAGACCGGAAAAATCTATTGAACTATTGATTTGAGATCAGGTCATGCCCCCCTTCATTTTCCTTTGAAACTACGTCAGAATGGAATTCTATTTTGATTTGAGATCAAAATTAGATTTTTTCGGCAGTCGATTTCTTTGCTTCAGAATAAAATGAGAAATAAATTAGGAAATATTTAAAATAAATTGTGTTAACATCTTATAGCATCTCGCGTTGGTTCATTATGGTTACCGAGTACACATAATTCTAAATTAAAAATACTTGTTTCATTATGAACATCACAAATAAAATATTGAATGGATGCCCTTAATATGGGTGGATTAAAATGTCCACGTATTTTACTTGTGACAGCTCAAACCCAACCCAGGCCAGCGTCTAAGTTTTAGTTGGCATGGGTTGAATTGCTTAAATCCAAGAGTACCTCACTTTCATAAAGTAAAATTACCCTAAAAAGCTAATTTATTTTCGAGAATGCTCTCCTGAATACACCCTTTGCTATAATTATTATTAAAAGATCTATCGTAACCACTTAGATTCGTGGTGCTGCATTAAATGCTTTTAGATTTACTATGTTGGAAGTAAATTTACTATTTGTTATTAGTCTCTGCTTAGCCAACTATATCGTTAACTCCGGCTAATTTTGCTTGAAAAAAATTAGTTATATTTCTGTGATTTTAACAAAATTTTAACTTTATATTTATATATTTATTGCATTTTCTTCACGTTGACAAGAAAATGTCTACTTTCTATTTGAACGTAAATCAATTTTTTCAATTCCCACTTTCAGCTTTATTGTGCTATAATTATATTTTCAATTATATTTCAACGTTATTGAATAATTCAAAATGTTTCTTTGTCTTTACTTTGATTATGCTTCCAAACGGAATACAGGATGATGAGTCGATAGTAAGCTATGCATGTAAATGTATCTTTTCGTTCGTACACTGTTAAAAAAAATTAGTGAATTTGTCGCTAATTTTCGATAATTATTGTCCTGCTACAAGGTGCGTATTGTGGCGCTCCAGAAGTATGTGTACCAAGTATGTATGAGTGGCATATATTGTCAGTATTTGGCCATAAATTCGCAATATACACCACTGAATATCGAATTGATACAAAAATGCAAGTATGGCGAATGGTGATTTTTAAGAGTACATGTAGTACGTGTTTTGTTTGAGTGAAGTGTGTAAGTCGGCTAAAGACGCAACCTTCACTCAAACCTTTTCAGTGTGTGGTATATTAAACATTGTTTTTCTGTCGGCCATGTTGAATCGACACATCTGAACTATCAATATATTTGGCTCATTCTGGGTAATAGCATTCACAAAATCAGATCAGATTATGGATCGAATGCTTTGAAATAAAAACATTTGAAGATCTGAGCGTATGTCATGGACCAAATGGATGAATATTTCACTACAAGTGAAATAGCATGCGTTTGTATTGTATTATAATATATCTTCCTTATGTTAACACTTATTAAGAGTATATTTTCTGGCGAGGGATGTCCAAAACGAATCTAATATTCGAATACATTCGAAATTGGTTATATTCGATATAGTTATATTATTAGGAATAGTTTAGAATAATTCCATCCGGAAATGTCTTTTTATTGAGGATTTATTATTCTATGATAGACAAAAAATTAGTAACTTCTGACAAAATGAAATAATGAATACTAATTAAAACGATGATCATCTCAATTATTTTGCATGACTAAATTTGATTTCTACGAATTTAGAATTTATCTTGTGGAACAGACCCTCCACTTCAGAATATATTCGATATTTCATTCGAAAGAATATTTCAGAATGTATTCGAAATACCAAATTATTACGTTTTGACCATCCACGGGAACCTGCTATTAAAGTTTCATCTCTGTATGGCAAAGTTCAACTAACGTTACTTGAGTCACACATTACTTAATCAACTACAAGGATCACAGTAGATTTACAAAGCTAATGTGAATGCTAATCAGGTATTTGCAATTTTAGCCAATTGATTATGCCGGTTTCAAGCTTTTCATGGAGACGTATTTGGAAGCGGATTTACCAGATCTGTTCTGTACCCACATGTTCCGGTCGTTTCAAAAGGCTGACACGAAGGAGGAAATAGGTGGGATGTCTGTTTAATATCTTCATACAGCATTGTAATTTGTGATCGATGATAGACAATAATATTGTGTTCATTCGTTCTGTTGGTATATGGATTATTATTATTAATATACAATCACAATTTAACATGTCAATAACGTGATTTTGCTGATCCACGATGATACATCCTATGCTCAACAATGGATTTTGTTCATTGTTAACAACAGAAATGCTAATATATGCAATTAAGTAGAATTGGTCAGCAACAACATGCAGCATTGCCAAAATAAACGTATTTGTTTCAAATTGTAATATGAGTTACTATATTCCAGATATTGACTAAAAATCATACAAAAACGTTTATCGTTCCATGTATCAAACCAACATCATCTCGTGCATATGCAAGGAATTAGTTTTTCGCGATTGGAAATATTTTCTCAGATATGTCTTGCGTTTATTTTACGCTAAGCATTAGTTTTGAGTTTTTTAAATAGCGCGGGCCTCTACAATAATTCATGCCAATATTTCTGGTTCCGAATGTCTAATAGTGCTCTATAGGTATACGATACCTGATAGCTGACTAAGTAATTCAAAACGGTTTTATACAATCTTAGCGGTTTAATTATTGCGGATTTGAGATAACATATACGCATTTCTCACTTTTTTGGACGGCAATGCGTACATATCACGTATTATAAGTACAGCTTCGGAATTGATAAAGAAGTTTCATACTATTTCGAAATGTATGTAAACTTGAAATGTCAATAGGCCTGAATGATCAATCGAGTCGTCAGGTAAGCAGAACTGGAATAATCTTTTATTCTTTAGAATAACTGTCATATTAAAATATCTACCCAGCAGATTTGAGTTTTTTTTTATTTTGACCTACCGGTACATATTTATATTACCACGCAAAGCTTTATCATGAATGGGGAAAATTTATTGTTATTTATTACATTGGCGGGTAGCGAAGTCTATTAACGCCATTATTTGAAATTTGCTTTTACGTTCAAGAGTAATTCAGAGAATATCTTAAACCTGATCCAATTGGAATTGTGTTTCCATGGGCCCCGCCTCAATGGTTATTTTCATCAATGCCTTAGGCTCGGCGGTTGCTGAATGAATTAGTCAGGAATCCATCTTTGTTTTGCCGTATATGCAAATATTTATGGCGTTCCAGTTACCACAATGTATGTAATAATAAACAACTATAAATCTTAACAACCGAAATCCTAAATCGCATTTGGTTTTTAACGGCAACACTCTTAACCAGTATGAATAAACAGGTAAACGGCTGCTATTGAAGGCGCCAGGTTACATAAGAATACCTGCCTAGGCCATAAATGACGCAAAAATCGATATAACCATTGTAGGTGAGCTATTTTGGTCTTGTTTCATATCGTCGATACAATCAAACGGTATTGAATTATTTAGGCATGTCAGCGGTAAAACGGAGTGCTATGCGCTTATCTGACTGTTAAAATTGATCGTCTTGGATATCCTGATGGCTTTTGTACTCACTCTTAAAAATGTAAAAATCTGGAATTGGATTTCATTAGCTTATTCTAGTAATCTGCTTGAATGGATTATTTGCATTGTATTGATACCTTCACTGGGTATTTAGGATTTATAACTGTTAGTCATTTTTGTTTGCTACATACAAATTACAACAATCGATGAAAAAATAGTCAAGAGTAGCTTTAAAAATATGCTCTATATTTATTTTTTTCGATAAATGTCAATTTTATTCTTTATTTTACAGCCCACAAAAGCAATTATTTCACAGACAAGATAGTACTTTCTGGGACATTTTTGAAATATTTGCAATTTTTCTTAGATATGTTATATTTTAGATTGGGTCATCCCTTGGCATGTAATATGGTAAATTTTGCGAATTTTTTTCGCTGCCGCGTCAATTTTTGTGGTGTGCGTCTTGGCACTATCTCCAAAACACGAAACAGAAAATGCGTCAAAGTCGGTGAATAATATTCATTCGTAATTGATAGGTTACACAGATGGTAGATTTAAAACATTGATAACTTTTCCCTTCGCTTTTTAGCAACGTTGGATTCGCACTTAGAAATCACAGTTATGGTGCGTGAGTCACGTTAACAAATATATAAAAGACCGTTCACAGAATATTGTCACAAAACGTGCTTTCGACAGTTTGCCAAGTATCGTCGAATCCATGTTATACTTACCGTTGTTTCGTTTTTAGAAACATGTCAAATAAAACTTCGTTAACTTTTTATTGATTGGGTTATGTAAATCTGATCAATTCTAATTTTAAAATCAATTTTCCCCGAAGTTCTTCAATATATTTTTTTCGAGATTACTGTATATAACACCTTGAGGTGAAATTAATTTTGTGACAAATCGATCAATGAACTAACTTTCATTCTTCATCACCCTTTGTCTCTCGTGAATAAATTTACAACCTTGTAGTTTCCAAAAATGTAATGGCAAAATTGTGCAAAATGTAAAATATTTTTTGTAACTCTCTCAAAGTATACTAATTGTTTAGTCGCGCCTAAATCGTTGCCTGCAATATTCTTACCCAGTAGTTCTCAGTCGGGGTTGCACGGCACCCCAGGGGTCCAACGGTACACTCCGTGGGTTTCGCAAGTTTACATTCAAATCCGAGAGTCTTCATTAATATATGTATATTGTATAAATATTTCCTAATACCGAATGGGCTAGCCTAGCCACCAAACTGCTACACTCTGAAGGAACCTCCAGAAGTATGTGCATCAAGATGACGCCCAACCTGAACATAGTATGTGCGCCAATACTTCGGGAGCGCCCTCTGAAGAACATCTTGTTTTGCCAGTATTAGATTCTCTTTTATATAATACATTTACAGATCATCAAATTACGACAATTAAAGGATTGCATAGGTGCTCCTCGAGCACTGGAATGTTTCATTGGGGTCCCTCCACCTTAAAGCTTGAAAACCAATGTCTAACAAAATATTTACCCGCATGTACTCATATTTAATAATTTCAATTTTTGAAGCTATTATCACTTCGGTAGATGACCACAAACCACTTGTAATGTTGTGTATATAGTGTTTATTGTACTTGCCATTGTATACCAAGGTACACGCGTTTGTATTTATTCTAAAACGACAGGAAATGATAAAATATTCATTCCATCGTTCGATATCCTCGCCGAGTAGCATCTATTTGTGACGTCACATTTAAATAATTACATAACGATTGTTTAAACTCGCCGATTCAATTATGCTGTATTTAATCTGTAGTAAGCGGAACACGCAGTGGGTAACCTCGGATGACCGAAATGTGTATGACAGGTGACAGCATATGACAACTCCCTCAAAATGTCAAAATTCTGTCAAAATGTTGAAAGGCTTGTCACTTGTAAATGAGTCATTAATTAGTAGTATTGTGATTCCGTTTATAGCAAACTGGGAATATATATAGTATTTAAGCAGGGTCATCAGTTGACTTTATTCTTTCAGTGTGGTCGCAGCGATCCAAACTATTATATAGTAAAATAATAGACACGGTATACTAAGGCAAGTTTAGTGTTCATAGTGATTGTGTATATTTGGTAAATTTGTAATAACATGCCATTATAAATCGTGAAATCTTGATAATTTCCACGAGTATATATATCTTATTAAGTAATTTCGTGTAAACTAATTTCGTATCATAATACCATCCGAACGGTGTGCAAATGTACTAATTTAGTAAACAAATCTAAATCTCAGTTATATAACATTGCTTCCTGAAAGCCTTAAAAGATGAACTTTTTTATTATACTGGTTATCAGTATGTTATGTCCAATCATTTTTATTGTGCTCATTTTTCTATAAATTTTTCTATTGGATCATTCCTTCTCAATCTAAAGATATCCTTGGCAAACATACGGGCAAATTCATCACGCAGGATTTGGCAGGGCAGAAAGATGATGTAATGGTTCCTAATATGCAAAGTTGTCATAAAGATATATTAGATATATATATATATAATAATCGTTTTTGAATGTATTACGGTCCAATGAAGTCAATACGCAGTGTATGGTTCGTTTTCTCATGGGATATGTTGTATTTTGGTGACGAAATTGCAATCTGCTGCCATTTTGTAGTTTTCTAGTCCCTAACCTTTATATAAATCAAATTACTTCGAAAAAAAACATTTTTGTGGCGCGATGTATTTTGGCGGATATCCGTCTGTATATTACTTATGTGAAAGGTGTTTTCTCCTGCGCTATTAAAAACATTGGAAATGTTTATGTAGCCTAACAGTCATACTTATTCATTAGTTTTCAGAATCTTTTCCGTGAAAATCTCGATTCAAACAATTTGAACAAGCTGTCATGACGATATAAACAAATTTCACTCAAAAGAAAATGAGATGAATTTGGCGTCAAAATTACTCCTGGTTTAAGGGGGGTGTATATGACATTTTACACTCGTTTGCTTTGGCCAGTGATCCCTTTTGAAATAAAAATCTGTTATTCACACGGGAAAAGGCAAAATATAACTGTGACATTTCAATCGTGATGTTATTGATTTTTATTTCCAAGTTTCCCAAATAAGTCGATGATTAATCAGAAAGAATCGATGGAATCTAAATTAGACAAATTTATTTCAAATAAAAATAATTTTTGGGGAGACGCGTTTGCGTCCATGTGCTAGGAGTTGTCATCCCCATCTTCGTTACATTATTTTTTTTGTTAGGTATTAACCACATAGGTGTGATCATTGCGCGTTCCTCATTTAAAAAATATCATAAAAAAATCGGAATAAAAACAAACAAAAACAATTTGCACAACTATTTCCTCCTTCCAGTATATTTGTGATTGAGACAGTCGCCTTTCGATAGAAACCGCGCATTTTTTAATAAAAAAAACTAAATATGGTATGCTTTCTAATCCATCTGATACTACATATATGCAAAAGGGATAAACGGTTATCGATATCGATATTGGCCTTCCAACGTTCCAACTTATTCAGGAAGCATGCATTACATGACAGTACGTTGTAGTCATTCTCCGTTGTATGCTTATCCAATACTTAGCCAATATAACATTTTTGACAGTGACTGATATCTTAAACTTGTATAAAAGCGTCCGGAATTAGAAATTTCAGAATAATTATCGGCAGATAAATACATCTGACTTGAGAATTCCTAAACTTAGATCACAGTAAAATGTATTTCTTCGTCGAATAAAACGTAAAAAACCTACATTGAGTGTGTATAGTGGATTTTAAGATAAATATGAGTCTTAGCCTACATTTGAATATACTGATTCCTTAAAGGGCATGTTCTGCCTTTTCACTTTTTGAAGAATGAAAGATAGTGGCTCACTATTAGAACCGTCTCGTGTTTAGGCTCAGGATGGGGTCCGGTTTTAGGCTTCGTACCTGCAGCTTGGTAAACTTAGGCAGCAAACTTTATGTTTATATATTTATTCAGTTTGTATTTTTGTATTTTGTCTTTAATCATGTTTCACAATTTCATTTTAATCTTCTTTTATTGTCCGTGCTGGTGGTTGTCTGATCTGATCCGATGCATGCTCAATCGACCAAATCATACACGTGTTTCGAATCTTTACCTACTCAACTGGAACGAACACGTGATATAACAAAACAGAAGGAAAAATTGACATGACCCTCTCCGGGGCAACTGTACTAGCATGTGCCTCCGTCACAGGTCTGTACCCTTATTTTCATATGCCGCCATTCTTATTAAATTTGACTGGCTGGATTATAGCATGTTCATTATAATTACTTTTAATTAGTAATTAATTATTTTTGGTATATATTGTCCTACTTGATTTTTCAAAATGACATATTACAATGTGTCGAAATTATGGTGTGTCGAAATAGCATGGTTAAATTTTTCATTCAAACTCAAAGAAATTTTGTAATTGTGGTTTCATGTTAAAATGAATATCTGACAACACTGTTTTATAAAGATCTTGTCTTTTTAATTGATTTGTGTGATGATAGAATTTTATGACGAGTGCTAATTAATATAGGTATTCATAGAGCCGTGCTCCATATTTTTCTTAACTTGACATCGCCTATATTATATAACCCCTATATAGATCGAGTAGTATTAATCCATTTCATTCTAGTAGAATTTAGTCCGCATATTGTCGCATGAATAAATATGACAACGTAGGTTCCTAATTTAGATTAATCGTAGATTGCTACTAATATACTTGACGCATTTATATATAAAACCACATACACCTAATTGTATAACGTTTTATGAATACGGAATTAATTATACTTCGGAAATTTTTTATAAAGGATAACATGACTGTAAGCATTTGAGGATTTTTTTCTTGGTGAACTGTTTTGTTCCTATAATGCACGCCAACCATTATAATTTTCCAGTGACTATTCTACAAATCGCATCTTACTCCGGATGTGATACGTTTCACTGTCATATTACAACTATAGCAATGTATAAATATGAGTTTATTTGTCCAGACACAAATTTGGAGCAAAAGATTTAGAAAATATTGCAATTGAGTGAAAAGTCTTTTAATTAGATATGAATGGACCTTATAAAAATTCGTATACTTTCTTGTATAAGTAATCGTTTTTTTTTCATATCGATTTGTTTAAGGCTCTCATACAAATATACTCACATCATACTCCAATTATTATACTCTATTTTCTCTTCACACTAGATAGGCAATAAATTATCTCATCGTAAAATAACTACAAGGAGGGCAAACAAACATCATGTACGTGGTAAAAGAATGTTCCAAATATTTATATTCAACCTATGTCCACTGACTCATTCCTTACTCCGTGGATAAATGCCACAGAAAGACGCGGTTGGTCTTGGTTTCATACTTGATAGGAATTTAACATTATAATTCACACTCCTTTTCTCACGTCAATAATCTGGGCATAATGATATGTTTGACCGAATTTGTTTCTTCGTGAAATATATAAGGTGTATTTACCTAAACGATATGACGCTCCTTTGGTCAGGCGAGCATCTCAATACACATACCATGTTTGACTTGAGTCAAGTTATTTATTGTATGATAATTCTGAGCCATTTTCGAATAAATTTTCTATTATCCATAAGATCCAAATTCCATAAATTTTACGAATTAATAAAATCGATTCAAATAAAACACTGTATGTAATTTTACTTAAGTCACAAATCCTTTCCTTATATTGTAATTTTCTCGTCTTTCAACCCGAATTTCATAACGCTATCCTCCGAAAATCCTACGAGACATTGAACCGGCGCACTGCAGGATCATTCTCCAGGGCAATGTTTAACTTAAAAACTCGTCCAAGATTATACTTTAGAATTAGCGGGTGATAAATACCTCCCATCAGTATTATTCCATTATTATTATAGATTTATGACGTCACGTAAATGCGAAAATCGCAGTCAAAGACCTCACATTGTTATAATCTTTATGGATAGTTTCTTTATCCTATCTATGCCATTTGCTTTACTGCGTTCAATGTAACGTAAAATTATATACCAAACAAATTTGAAAACATTTCCATGTGCGTGGGACAGGATTACAAACTGGTAAAATCGTCAACAATATGGTCGGAACTCCTGTTGCGGTGAAACGAAGAACATGGTTCGGCGAATCTCGACAATCTTCTGAAGAGAGAAAAACTGGTATAATATGGTAGCATGCGCATGGTTTCGTACCACTTTTTATGTCTTTTTCGTCAACTCAAAATCATTGTTGTGTGACATTATATATCGTAACCGTTGCGACCGGTGAACTATTTCGCATGATATATTATGGCAGCATGCGTGTGATTTCGTATCTCTACTTTCTATCTTATATTTATCAATAGAGAAAAATTGTTGTGAGACATTATATAGCGTATTATTTATGAATGGTGAACTATATTGCATGTGCATGCCTTGATGCTCGACCTGTATGTGCGAACTACTTTTGTTTCTATTTATCTTTTTTGTGGACTTATGGATCTTTTTGGTGATTTGTTGTTGTTGTTGTTATTTTTGTTACAAGAAAATCGCTTTATTCCGTCCCTAGAATATATCACTTTCATATTTTTCAAAATTTCCCGATTTCTACGTGGCCCGACATTTCATCTCAAATTTGCTTGTATTTTTATATAAATCGTGGGCATAATAATTTCAAATGACATTTGTACATAGCTTCATATATAGCATTCAATTCATTTTTTTTTTCTGACATTGGAGTAGTCATTTGACTTTCATATCCATATAAATGAGAATTGCTCTCTTGTCTTTCATGCAAGTTACTGCTTTGCGCTAATAGTTTGTAAGATTGTGGGCGTTCTCGCTTGTAGTTTGTATTCATTTTTATATAGTTGTCATCAGATTTAAACGGTCAAAGTTTTTTCAATAATTTATTTTTCGATTACTGATTCGGTGATTGTGATATGGGAATTGGCGGGTTTATAGGTTCGGAAATCGATATGATGCATTGAGAACTATATTCTTTCAATTTTGCTTTTCTATCTTTGTATTTACCTCTCTCAAGAAGTGCGTTACAACGTTGGGTCATATTTCAACGAGCAAGCGATGTGCGTTTGATTTGTTTTGCAAAAATACAGTAGACGCCCAAACCAAAAATTGACATTACGTCTTCAAGTGGGCTTTACAAATGAAGCTTTTCTCGACGTAGCTTTTCTTTTTGCCTGTAAACAAGCCCGTAACCGCGGTAACATGACACAACGCTGACATTTCAACGAGATTTCTTCCTATGTAACAAACAAACCATCCGTACTTCTGCATCATTGTTTGTGGTTTGCGGTTTGCAGCACGCAAATGTACGAATTGACATTCTCTTATTTCCATTAACCTTGCCAATAGGTAATATAATACTGGAGATTCAACACATCAATAAATAAAATGAAAAAGTCATGATGTTTGAACGGAATTCAAAATCTAAATTCTCTCTCCGGACAATCCCATTGATGTATGTATGGTGGTTTTTGGTGCCACTAAATTATTGAGCATGCATTAAAGTATTGTAAAAAACGACTCAACCGTGAAGTGATACTTCATTAATCTTATAGCTCAGTTTTCCTTGAGTCGATTTAGACAGGGCAAGTATAGTAGCGTAGCGGTAGAATATGTAGCGTTTGGTGTTGCTTCTGCGAATAGCAAATATACGCAATAGACAAATTTATGTCGCAAATATTTCAATATAATATGACATGATAACTTGTTAATTTCGTCAAGAGATAAAACTACTTTTTCAATTCAAAAATATTCTTTGTATTGTTCCTACATAAAACTATTACACGCATTAAGAGGATTTGCAAATATATTTCATGTCGCATATTTTTCTTCTTACTTTTTGACACACAGGACATGTCAATATATTGTTTTGTTAATAAGCTACATCTACTTTTTTAATATGACAAATTAACTATTAGATTTTCTGACTTATAAAACTTTTAACCATAAATGTCAGAATTCGATTCGGTCTAAAATTCATTTTCAATTTTATAACCTAGTTTTATGACAAGCAATTTAATGGAATCCGTCAACTAAAATAAATTATACCATTCAAAGTTACATAAAAACAAGTTCTATTTTTGAGTTTGGCCAAAAACTCCGTTGGAGTTTCTAATTCAGGATCTCGTTGGTATTTATATAGTGATTCTGTTTTTATTAAAAACACGTTAAATTCCTTGAATCATTCTATTTATGCCTGCTACTGTTATTTATATATCCAAATTACCTAAAAGTATTCTGTCATCAACTAACGTTCTCCATTAAATCTCCATTCTTGATCTCGATTCGAAGCATGACCTTTCAATATTTAATCCTTTTTGTCAACCATCAATCCATAATGTTAACTACAAATATTGTTATCTCGTTATAAAAACATTGATCAAAAGGTCAATACCATCTTGGAATTCATCCTATTTCATTTTAACGTTTGGCTTGTCATTTTAATCCCATTTATTTTGTATATTGATACATGAAACATCTTTTGTTCTCATTTAATACACAGTGTAGTAAAGTTATGTTAAATCAACATGCGTTTCAAAGTAATACAAATAGAATCTTGATTCGTTGTTTTGTATAATTTTTACCTCGGTTAAAAGTGGAAACTGATGACCTGTGTTACGCCAATTCTATTTATCGCTTATAGTTACATAGTCAAAAAGTCAATTATAATTTTGGTTGAAATCAAAAATGTTATCACTAGTCATTAGTAATGTGCACCAAGTCCAGCAGTTTGGTTTTACAAAAACCTGTTTCAATGTCAATGGTCATATCGATAGCGCATGTTTCAAACCTTTTGATTTGCCTTTCAGATGCCGATGTCAAAGGAAAACCTCCTCGCCCTGTGTCAACGGCTGGCGAAATAACACTCAATATGAACGACCATACTCACGAGACTACAGGAGCAACACCAGCAGATAAAACCAATAGTTCGACCAACAACACACTCGCAGTCCCAAGCGGTGAGATACATGCATTATATTTCCTCGGTTTCTAATGTCAAAAATCCTCTCAGCGCTGATGATTTTCTTTGAAATCATTTTCATTGTCATTCATATTGTCAATGATTGTACAAAAAATGTTTTTGTTGCCTACTTCTGATTCATTTTTCTCCGTATATCCTGTGGTGATAAAGGAAGAAGTGCCTCTCATTACTTTTGTATGTATACTACTCAGGTTAAATTCATCGCTGTCTGTTTATTTTAGTAGATAATATTGTTAGTAACATAAACAGAGGTCGGTGGAGAAGTCTAGCTCAGCCAAAACCAAAGAAAACGCATCAATTAATGAGGAAAAAACAGGATATTATCATTTTTTTCATATTTTTTCTGGGATCTTTTTTTGTCTCATACATTGCTATTTTGTATTTTGGAAAATGAACTGCGATTCCAGGTTCTGTAAATCATGCAGCTTCCTTTTTTCAATTTTCGAATTTACAAAACCAAAACTTCACGTTGGGATTTGGTAGTCATTGTAAAAGAATCCAAAACAGAAATAGTCTGAACGTAACCGAAGTTTAGCTGGTCGTAACCTAATCAACCATAACCTCTACCAATTCAAAGAGCAGTAATGGCTTCTTTTGTCGCTGCGTAATTCACCACTAATCAAGACTAATCGCTCACTGTTCGAAGCTATTCTTTCTGTCGTGAACGAAAGCGTCTCATTGGGCTTCGATGACTACGATGAGTGGGTTAGGAACAAAGTGCATGGTGTTTGATTAGGGTTATATCCCGGGCTCTCTTTACGCTATAATTGAAGTAACTACCAAGCTCCTGTTCTCAGAACCGCCGAGGCGAAAGCTCTTAACATACGTCAGACGATAATATTTCAATTTATGTCAAGTTTGGTTTTTAATGGCAAAGCCGACTACATCATTTAGCTTCTGTAGACGAACGATATCACTCGGGATTTCTGTCTTTGTCAATTAACCTTTACGATGCGGCGTAAATCTACTCAGTCAGTCAACAATCTTTAGATGGCGATCTCTTTGATGGAATTAAAGCCTCTTTTTAAAAGGTTATCAGCCGTGATGAATTCAAATTTGAATTCACGTTGACCAAGCGTGAAATAACATGGATTTTTTACAATGTTGTTCCGAAACTTTTTTCAGAATCAGGGGTATTTGATGACGCTTGCATTTGCATTATGCTATTTAAATAGGAGTACGAAATATGGTTACAATTTGAATGGTCTCCTGCTTAGAACACTGTTGTTTACAGTTTACACGAACTCAATTGACCTATTTTGATAAACGCTTTGCCGTAAGGAGGAAATACGCAACTCGTTAGGGAGTCAATTGCACGCGTCTTCCTAATCGACATACTCGTTTAATTTAATAAAGAGTAAGTATATACCATATACTTTCTCCTCAGAGGCAAAAGTCTGCGCTTTTGCGAGTCAATTTCCTCACGTTTGAAATGTCTGCCCTACATTTAGATCGCCAAGTACCGGTAATTTATTTCCACTAGTATCTTAGGTTTTCCGTGTCTGTTTAGGTTGCTGGAGCTGAATCTTTTTGTGGTAAAATTACTTTACCTAGGAATATTAGACTCTCGTTTGGCCCGATGTTTTCAACACTCGTATACCACCGCGACATGTTGGAAAGAATTGCTAGAATTCCCAGCTATTTTGAACATGAAGATGTTTATCTCAGCTTTGTTGGTAATACTGTTACAGAAAAATCTCCTAAATTGACATATCTTGTTTTACATCCTCGTAACCCTTTTTTTTCAAACCCTAAATTTAAATAGCCTTTAGATAGTTCTATTTGTCTAATGAAATATACGAAACGCAAAGAATACTCTGATGTAATAATAATTTGGCCACTTTGTCAGACGCATTTTGCAAAACTTAAACTTTAATTGTCAGTTTGAAATTCAGGATTTTGTTTTGAATAGGTTCAAAGGTTAACATTGTTTGACTTGAACATTTTATACACCAAAATTGATTCCAAATTACTTTTAATCAATGATATTTGAAGGTTATTTCATATAATTGAATGACGCATAGAGGGTCTCGTGTTTGGTCCAAACTTGAACAACATTAGTTTTACTTAAAGTTTAAAAGCTGAAATCGGAACCAACAAGAAGCTTTGTTCGGAGAGACAATCCTATAAATACGTCGTATAAAAATATGCTTTTGGTCATACTTGATCACTATATATATATTAGTGCACCACAGTTGAATTTGTTCAAATTTTGCTACGCTCTACATATTGCATAATCTCTACTAATCTGAACTATATTTGGCTCAAATCATTAAATTTGCATGATTCCGAACTACGTTTCGTTGTTTTAACTTTAATGTATGTTTATTTTTGTGGAATTATTTATCACCTATGTGTAATTGATCAACCATGATCTCTGGTTGAAAGATGGATAACTTACTCGATTGGATAAATATTCTTTATCGACTTTAGAATCGTTATGTACTGGTAACAGTCTTCAAAAGTTCAAATCACAAAATAATAGGTTTTATATTTATTATTGCTAAATATTTATTTGCGTGAACAAAAACATGTTTTTTATGCTCAGTCGTTTGCCTAGCTTAGAATAGTATATTTATTCGAACCCAGAATAGTGGTAAATATCGAATACAATCTAAATTGGGGGCAAATTCATGTTACATAAATTACTAATAATAATAAAGGAACAATATTTTCTCTTCAGTGACCGTCACCCCTCAGACCCCCACCACCGCTGCAAAGGTTTCAACATTGAGTAAAACAATGAACTATACAACAGCAAGATCGAAGAATCCAGATGAGATTCCTTCAGAAGTTGAAGTTGTTCATTTGAAAGACATTGTTTGTTATTTATCGCTTTTAGAAGGAAATCGACCCGAAGATAAATTGCAATGTAAGTAGATGCAACATGAATGTTTTTGATCAAAATTTTTTAATAACTTTATTAACCGAGCTTGGCCTTTGATACAATGCTATGTTAGAACGTGATTCTTATTTGGTCCGTGTATGGGAATCCACTCATCATCGAAATGTATCAACTTTGAACATAATTTTAAAGTCTGAAAAACCTTTTCTCAATAAAATTCGAGCTCAAAGCAAGGCCACACTCACTCAGAAGGATAATCATCTTTCAGCGAAGTAAGGCAACTTCGGAAATGCTGAAACTGAAACGATTTGTTGTGGCGATGCATCCTATCATTCATTTCATAAAATCCTAATTTTAAATAAGTTTTGATATTCATATAAACGTATCAACTCTGCAGAATGGTGGACTGGGAAACTTGGGATTTCACTTATTTACAAGAATTTTGTTGTTATGTCAACCAAATGTCATTACCCACCTTGAGAAATTTGTCCATTCACTTGCCAAGCATCGTGAAACACGACTACTAAAAAAAACTTTCCAAATGTGTTTTCAAGACAAATTGGACCATATGTTCATATATTCCATTCGACTCACTCGTTCTATCATTTCAAAATTTTATTGCAAAGCTTTAAAACAATATGAATACAATAGTTACCTAGGTTTACTAGTTTCTAAAAAAATAGATATTTTATTTTTGTGTTTTTCAACTCTTTCAAGTTCACGCGATCTGACTGGAATCCTTTTTGAATTGTTAGTTTCGATGGTAAATATCAGTCTGAAAATAGCCGGCTTTTGTGAACTGTTTGGGCGTTAAATCCACTACTTTAACGTGATCTGATTGTTATTTCACTTGTTTTGAACTAATTTAGGTAGACATTGTTATATAGCACCTTGCGGCAGCTGCTCATATTTCATAAATTCCTATTCATTCAGTGAAAATTTTGGATTATTCAATTGTATTACTAGTAGATTTTTAAAAATCAATTGAGAATTTATTCTGACATGGATTTGAATTATGTAAACAGCAAACACTTCTGACGAGACGTACCTTTGACATAAAGTTAGAATATTGTACTTCCTGATAATATAAAATTTAGGGACACAAAATTCATTTTAATCTTGGCAGTCTTTTTGCTTCATAGTATGTTGTATCTGCAAGCATTGTACTGTGTCGGCATCGCAGATAACACAACTGCGGGTGAAATCCCATGCCGATCATCTTACCCGACGATTCCGGGAATTGTAGCTGCCTGCATATCAGTGACCACTAGAACCTATCTTTGTTCGGTGATAAAAATATAAGCGCCGTATATAAACAAACATAGATAAAATAAGTTCGTTTATTTTTCAACTTATAATTTCTTTTACAGTTGTCTTCAAATTATACGACACAGACGAGAACGGAAATCTTGACAATGGAGTGAGTGTTTTTCTTCCATTAAATTTATCATATTTATTTTACTACCTCAAATACACCATAGGTCTGAGTTGACCAAGCTTGTTACAAGCGAAATGGTTCTACCTATTTACGTTACACTATTCTCTCAGTATAATTATAGCGCGATCTGTTTTGAATAGGGCGACCTTTACAAACGAAGAAAATTTTATTATCTTCCGATAATCGAATTTACTCCCATCCATTTATAGGAATTGAATTGAAACGTCGTAAAATCAAAATCAATTACTGATTGAAAGCGTTCAAGAAGTAAATAATTCATTGTCGAAGGCGTAATATTATTTCAAGTAATTGTAATTTGAAAGCTAGGTTCTGAATTCCCAACTAATTTACGCGCGTTGATCACTATAGTAAACGTGATGGGAACGAGTGCGTAAACGCGGGTGCGTCGGCGTCATGACGCAAATTACGTCCCAGAAAGGGTGTCGTGTTGCAGCTATCTGACAATGACGGGTCATATTGCTCGAGAAACATTGCTCATTCCCATGTAGACTGATATTTAGATTTAGTGAAAATAAAGCATATACAATATTGCTAGTAAGTAGATCGATTCAGATTTTTCATCGCCATCCTGCACCTGATTATCACTTGATTATTGTCCACCTATCCACCACCCTTATACGATTTTCCAAAAAAATTCCTGTTTTTATTGACCCGTATTTCGCGGTAGCCCTATTATACCATTCACAATTTTGTACTTGCGGTCTTACACCACAAGTTTCTGTGTGCAACTTATTCCACAGCTCTATGTCATGATAAATGCCATCACATAATTAATTCTATTAGATGCAGTCTGGAAGGAACTTAAACTTGATGAAAACCATACCATCGACATTAATTTTTTATGCACTTCCCCAAAGGGATAAAATGTCATGCCATTGGGGAACTTAATATTATGATGTTCTTGACCGCACGTTACAAATGGACTTTTCGCTATCTTTACGATCCATTACATTCCATTAAAAAGACATTTCAATTTCGGTTTGGGTAAGAAACAATGATCAAGCATGGACGCACATTGAACGCATTTTCTTTCCCTTACAAATGATGCCATTTGCTAGCAAACACATCTACGCGAACCAACAACGTTACCGAGAATTCCACTGCAAATGTTTCTGTAATGATAAATAATTCTGTGTGTTAACTGGTTGGCAGGCCGAAAGATTTTCGCAGAGGGTGCTTGTTTTCAGGCATTTGAATTCCAACAAACCTATTAGATTTTTGCGACGACGAGCCAATCGTTAAGATATTATAAGATTTATAAGAAGTGAATATTCAAACCTATCTGCAGACGTTTTTGAACTTCAAGCAATCAGGACGCACGGACTCAAATCTTCCTCTTCTCTAATTATTTTTAAGATGACAATTCAGGCCAACTTTTCACGTAATAATACACTGTACATACAAGTCATTGTTGGGACCATGAGTAAATTAGTACAATACAGTTGGCCATATACGTAAAATATTTTAAAAGGAAATGAGAATCTGTGCTCATATTACTTTCATTTATATTGACTGCATATTTTACCTTTTTATATACTTGGTTTTTTAAGTTTCATTTTTAAGGCGAAGTCCCAAAAACTAAACACAATATCCGGCAGTAAGTCAGCAGAGAGCGTTTGAAAATTATAATTGGTCTTCTGTTCTGAAGTGCGAATATCTGTATCTATACGAACGAGTGTGAAATACAGGCTAGTTTTAGCTCACAATGTATTGTGAACAGTGCCGAAATTTTTCATATAACGGAAGAGTATATTCCTTGTTTACGGATATCGATAGAATTTGTTGACGATTATCTTTGAATAAACATTCTGTCATTGTTTTTAGGAAATGGAAAGAATTGTCAACCAGATGATGCATGTTGCAGAGTATCTTGGTTGGGATGTCACAGAACTACGACCAGTAAGTTCTTTTGCTCATTTTTATCTTTCATTTACTTATTCTATAACTTCTGTTGATTCAGTAGATTTCTACATTCAATTCTCAACTATATATCGATACTGAAAATCAATATTTGAATGGTCCAGTTTTTGCAGGGAAAGCAATTTTCACATCATTTTATATAATTCAAGAGTCCTGCTGCATCACACTAATACAAATGTATTTCTGTAATGTTTCGTCTGACCGACGTCATGAGTTGAAATATGCTGGTCTGAATCTGAACAAGTCTGACCACGGTCAGACGGAACGTTACAGAAATACATTTGTGTTAGTGTGCAGCAAACTCTTGGATTGAACAGGATAGTCGTCTTTATTATTGCTACAGCATCGTTGCGTTATACGCATATGGATCCACTTTCACAAAGTCATAAGGAAAGAAATGATAGTTTGTCTTTCGTAACCCCAACTGATAATTTCACATCATCGCAAATCATTGTTTGGGCCACATTCTTATTTCTTTAGCTAAATCCAAATATATCTGCAAATAAAATGGCTATTTTGGAGTATATTTACTTCAGTTGAATTTGGATCTTTATAAATCGTACATATTAAAAGTCGTGAGTTCATCTAACAATTCAGGCTGATAAGTCCAGACAACAATGTTGTATTTTGCAATGTGTTTTCTGCAATATTCTCTGACACTATTGTGTGAAGTAATACAAAAGCGTTTGCAAGAAATCAAACCTCGTTTTGGTACATCTATCATTTCGTGAGGAATGTCGCATCTAAAGTGCCTTCTTTGCGTGGTGTGTTACAAGTGTAGTTGTATGTTAACTAGCCCGCAACTCAATTTTGAGCAAAAATATTTGCATTGGAAGTTTATAGAACTAGACTTGTACCGACAACGATTACGGTTACATGCTGTGCTAATATTATCATCAATTTGATAAATTCAGTAGCAAACTCCGCTTTGTACCAACAGAAATCCATCTTGCTGAAACCCATCTTAGTAACGCAACTATAAACATTCAGTTTTTGCAAACTTTTGTATAAATTGCCTCAATTTGAGGACTTTTTGGGTTTGTTGTATTGCATGCCTGGGCGGTTTTGGTACTTGAACTTCGTATATTTTGGCAGAGAATCATTACCTGCATTTGCCAAGCAGGTTCATTGAGGTGTGAGTCGAAAGAAAGCAAAAACGGAATGGTGTTACATAGTTTGACAACATAATATTTATGGGAATCACAGAGAAATAGGCATTCTCTTTAATCGAAGTCACCCACTACTTTATGTACTGTAGCAATAAAGATATTGGAAGTAAATTCCTAGTTATTTCCATACTACATTACGAATCATTCAAATAAAAAGTCTGAAGGAAATGTCGCCATTTGCATTGTTGTATTCATTGAAAATATCACATTTGTGTACAGTCACAACACAACGTTTATATTTAGCGCATGTAACCTATTCTTAGAAAATATGTGTTGTGTCAGCGTCCACGCACAATGGATCATAGTTTATGTTGCGTGCGTCAGATTTAGTTGCGACGTACCTCACGCAGAAATACGGGAAAATGTGTGGGAAGTGTGAGCGAAAATAGCGTTTCTTGTCGATTGTTGTTCAATGTAAAACAATCACAGCGTAATAACGTAGCACACGACGCATTTCCCACTCGTTTTAGACAATAGAAATAACGTCAGGCGTGCGTCAAAGTTATTGCGAATTTGCAATCACGCGCGCATAGTTCAATGTGGCTGCCATTGTGATTATGCAAAGTAAAATTATGTTGTATGTGCAAAATCAATAAGGAAAGTACATTTGCAATTGTAGGATTCCAGAATTAAGAAGATATAATTTATCCCGTATCTTTATTCAGTACATTGCGATTGATTGAGGGGGAGAGATTTTCAGATTCCCAAATTGCTATTTGTCGAAGGAAATAATTCCATCGCCTGATAGTCCGCAGTTTCTTCATACAAATTTCCTGATTATATGGGACAAAATAGCTACTGAAAATTTACCTTCGTTTTTTCATCTGTGACATTCACCACATTGCGAATTTGTAACCACAAACGGAAACTATTTTAAAATTGGAGAGTTGAATTTTTTTATGGTAAAAATTACTGCTCTTTAGATTCTTCAAGAAATGCTTCACGAAATAGATTATGACGGTGACGGCGTCGTTTCATTAGAAGAATGGATACAGGGAGGACTGACTACTATCCCGTTACTTGTACTACTTGGACTTGAAACTGTGAGCACAATTTCTAAGATTTCTATATTATTGATTTATCAAAGTCTTACAGCACGTTTATAGCAACATGTGGACGGCCATATACTCAAATCGTGTACTTGTTGGGAAGTACTTCTGCCATGGACAAAGGTTTGGTCAGGCGACAATGTAAAAGTACAAAGACATGAGTTTGAATAGACGTATTTTCACGGATTACTCAATTTATCACACAGTTTGTGAGTTGATGAACATAGATAGGCATTGTGGCTTACTAAAGCTAAATCTCAAATCTAACGATTCTTTTGTAGTTAGGTCAGTGCAAAAATCACGGGCGCTTAGCGTAGGGTGGTGCAATACTTTTTCTATAGGTAGAATTTGTAAACAACTGCCATACGACAAAAGTTGTAGAGTCGAGGAAAATTTACAATTGAATCCGACTTCAACTCCGGGTCATAAAAATTTTTCCGAATACTCCTTCGAACTCGAAGATATATTCAAATTATGATAACAAAAGCATCGGCAAGCCTATTTTAATAGACTGTTATTAAGAAAGCTTAGTGAAAGTGCTGCATTTGGAGTTCCCGAAGAAAAATTTTGACTTTTATTATTACAATTGAGACTTGAGAGTATAGAATTCCGACTACCGACTCCAAGCAGTTTACAAATTCGACCTAGCTCCAACTCCAGTAAAAACATATCACACTGCGACTCCACACCCACGCATGCGACGATGGTCTCGTTCGGGAAATACTGTCCGCTCGGTGGCACTCGGGATTCACTGAAACACGTATACACCATTTTGTCTTGTTGGCTGAGTCAGACGCAGAACACCAACGCTACAGTTAAAATTCAAATGGTTGATCAATGGTTACAAGTTGGCACCGCAAGACAAAGATACTATGTTTAAACAACGTAACCTATCCTGTAATAAAACCGGGAAATGCCTCAACGAAAAGACTTCGGTTATTCCATAAACATAGTTTATCCTTATGTATCAGTGTGTTGCTTTTTAGAGTCTTAGTCAGTTCGGTATAGGTATGGATGAATCATATGCACCCTATAAATGTATACTGTATAAGATATTTATAAACAGAAAACTTGGGTATTTTCAAGAAACTCAATAGCTCCGTATCTACCACGGGGTTCTGTTGTGCTTATACTTATCCTTAGCTTAGCACTCCAATATATTTCGAAAAAAAATATGTCGGTCTTTCTAATAAACGTACCTAATAGCCTCAAGTCCATCAGTGGCGCTGTAGTGCTTGTATTTAGTCTTGATGGAAGAAAAGATGTGAAAATTCACATTGTTTGGGATACCTATTTCTATCAAAATAACAGAATTTGGTTGGTGACGACCACTGACGAGAGTTATCAATCGCTTCATTTGGTGGCTTCGGTCTATATTACACTTTGTCTCCCTTTCGTTCCTTTTGCAAGACTTTAACCTTATAACGTAACAAAAATTTTATAAAAAAATATTTTGTAGTATAAAATAAAATTTCCGTTTATGATTCCAAGTAAATTCCTCGCTTTTATTACAATTTTCATCACTTTCTATACTGCAAGATTACTTCAAAATGGAACAATGCAACAAAATCTATATATTGTCATAATTTTTGTCACAATTACGGGGACTTATTTGACCCTGCCTACAAGATAAAGTTGAAAACAAAGGGAGGGTCAAAGTTGAAATTATAGTAATAAGTTCCTATCAAGCAAGTTACATTCTAAATTTAGTCTCCTTCAGCCTGTTTATGACGTCAGAAAGCAGTTATCCAACGCGATTTTGTTTTCAAACAAGATAGTATCGCCAGGGATATTTTGGTCTGAATTCTTTATGTTGATATTTTTTCATATACCTTATCAAGCGTGGGGTGTTGTTTGTAAAGCGCGTATCATATAGGTCACATACTTGATTTAGTCTTGGCACTTTTAAAAATTCTTAGGTTTCAGGTTGTAATGAAGATTATAGGCCAGGGCAAAGATAACGAAGGTCGGCTATATTTAGAACTGTACTAACGGCACGCGGTCTTGAACAAGCCCTTTCTGGAATTTCAGTTAGCTTTAATACAGACCACATCTTTCACTTTACTCATTTGTTTATAGTGAGGCATGAATGCCAGAACCTCTAATTTATTTAAATTACATTCTAATAAAAATGGACTTACATCAGATTATGTCTATGCAAATGCCGATCTTAAATTCTAAACCGACATTTGCGTCATCGTAGATGCTTGAGTAAAACCGAGGCTTGAGTGAAATGCAAGTGATGAACTTCAAAACCAAGCTATATCAACATTTTTTTTAATTCTATTGTTATCACTCGTGTCTGTTGTATATCATTTTTGATACGAAGCGCTCTAAACACAGCAATTGAGTTTATATCAAATTTTTGCTTTTCTCCTAATATAAAAATGATAGCAACCCTAATATTACGTCTCAGCTCGGAACGTGAGTTTATAATTTATTTTACGCTCGCTAGGATGTTATTTGAAAATTTTGGTAATGTCGATAATATTTAACATTGATATGGAAAAAATGGTCAAATTGTATATACCCCTTCAATTTTGTCGTGCATCATAACGGCGCTCCAGAAGTGGGTGTACTAATTTTGTTCGCCTACTTTACATCAAGTTGTGTAAAAAGACTGATTACTATGGGCAGGGGGTATATTCACTTGGCTAGCACAGACAGTCCCCGAACTCGTAAGAGAATTAAAATAAGTAAAAGTAAAAAAAAGTACAGTATCTCATCCAAAGCTCAGAGTCTTTTTGCTGTTGTTTCGCTGCGCCAAAGGTCTTCGACGACAGTGCTTTTTGGTTAGTATTTCATCGTTTTCCTCCAAGTATCATCCTCTGGGAATTATTTCATCTTTGGTACAGTGGTTGATGGTTTGGCATAACCATGCTGTTATCGAAAGCAAACGAGATAGTATCTACTAAGGGCGTCATACGGGCCGTAATAAATTGGTTTAAATTAATTTACTGTGGTGGAACGAACCAGCAAGCGGCCATTCGGTAACTTCGCTTTCGGAAGTTCGGGCATTGTTTAGAGCAGGCGCCTGCATCATTTTTGGGCCATATAACTAACTTCATACATCATCTTGCTGGGCCACACGAAGGAATTTACTTTTTACATTTACACAAGGAAGAGAGCAAAACGGCGAAATATACAACGCTATGTATTTTTACCCATGTGAACGACTTTTAAACATGAACTGTCGGATTATGATTTTATGCTCGATGGGGAAAAATCTGAGTGATGAGATGGGCCACGTTAAATGGCTTTGCGGGACGGATTGTAGTCCGTGGGTCTCCTCCCGCCTGTTGGACCGCCTGGTTCAGAGCAATGAAAATCATAAAAACGTTGATAAATCTAAACATCATCATCATCATCATAGCGTTGCATTTTATAGAACCTTCGACTTGTTCGGATTTATGTAGCCTACATCTGTATGTTATTTAATCGCATTACAATCTTACGCAAAATGAAAGTAATTCTACTAAAAGAATTTAAGACAAATTTTTTAAACACAATTTAAATATTCTACATATTTTGAGTTTTGATTTATTTTTAGATTTGATTCAACGATAAATAGTAGGAATTAATCATTTTTTGCTGTGTAAGCAACAATGGTTGTTTTTTTCATCGTGACTTTACAGTTTTGCATATTAATAGAAATAATCAAAAGAAATTGCATTTTTACCTTCTGATAAACTATTTTGAATCGGAATGTTGTTCTCAAAATACTTTTATGTACTATAGTTGTATCTATTTTCTGAGGGGCGACCATAACGCAACCGCATAGAGTTTAGACCGAAAATAGCTAGTCATGGATTTGTGTAATCTTGGAACGCATAATTGCTGTTTCTATCTTCAATTTTATTATATATGTATGCATTCATTAACTAGATGTCTGAAAAACGTCTTGTCTCGCTTTTCTCAAACTTGGTCTGCACTTGTGCGACACATGTCCTGGATAAGTGAATCTCACTTCATAAAAATACTCTAACCTTATAAGTATTCTATCCTATCCTAGTCCAGAATATAGCACGAAACCGACCTTATGCACAAGTTACCTAATGTGCTAAATATGGGGAAAGTGTTTTACAATTGGTATATGGCATTTTTGGATCGCCATTGTTTTTATAAGTTTCACAACAAAATTCTAAAAAATGTACAAATCCAGAAACTCATTCCACACACAATATTTCATAATTTGTGTTACGTGTTAACACCGTCATATTTAAAAAACGAGTCTCTCTCTCCCTGTACGTTCTTGAAATGGTTTCCCAAAAATTGTCGCTTTATGTATTTTTATTCATATAGGACAGGGTCGTCCAGCCTTTTTGGCCAAATGGCCACATGTAGTTTACTAATAACTGCGCGGGCCACTTAATATAGTAGTTATGTTCTAGTTTTGCTACACTACAACAGGTTATTGAAAAAACAAACAATACCCTCACACCAAAATTTCACAATTATTAGAACAATAAAACTGTTGTTTACCAACCATTGATGAAGTGCCATCAGTGGTTATTCCCGAAAGTTTTGCCAAAGACAAGCCAAGACGCTTGATCATTTTTATCACAGCTCCCAACAAATCAATGCCTCTCATCGTACCCTTAATAGGGACATTGGCTGCAAGCTCGTCGGTAATTTTAAATCATCATTACCTCCCCACAAAAAGATCGCCAAGTCGCCAACTGAGCAGTAAACATGATGTCAAGTTTCCGCTATAGAGTTCCCAAGCTCTTCTACACGACGAGTTATGGGTGTCTTGACAGACTATTTTTGCAAACACCTCTTTTATTTCCGGACGTAAAACATTGGCAACTCGAACGACACATAATATACACTTCCCAACGAATTCACAATCTGAGAATGGCTTCGATTGTTTTGCGATAACATCATATAGAGTAGAAAAAGACCAAGTGTGTAAGCGACTATGTATCGATATCTCCTCCCAGTTGGCTTCGATTCAAAATGGCACTCATGAATCGTTTGAAAGGTCTGGCAGA